TATTACAGATGTGCTGTAAAAGTTTAAAAAAATCACCTATTTTGTAATGAATTAAAAAGTCGCTGTCATTTTTCAAAATTTGCACTTTGATGCGAATTTTTATATACGAGGAAAAAATTCTAATTAGGTTTTTTCATATTTATTCAATGATAAATGACTGTCTTTTTTGTATTTTCAAGGTTTCTGATATAAAAATTTGGCAAAACGTTGTATCTAATATTTCAACCCTGATGTTAATTACAATCTTCTATAACACTGCCATATTATGACTAAATATGAAATTGTTATTACTTAGTGATTTTTGGTTTAAAAATACCTACGATGGAACTTTTAGGGAAAATTCAGAACCGGATTCGTTTATTAATTGGTAAATAAGTACGAATCTATTTTTGGGTAACATAAATCCAGTCATACTAATAGATATTTAATTTTGAGCAAGAAACAACTTTCATGTTGGTTATAACCCGGAAAAAAAAGCTTATCAACAACAGAAATATACTTAATAGATAGGTATTTAATAAGTTTACAGGAAAAAATACAAAATATTGCACAACAGAAATCTATAAATCAGAATAATCAACAGCCTAATAGTTGAATTTCTTCATATATATTAAACGAACAACTTTTAGAGAGAGGAAAGAAAATAGCAGAAAAATGATAAAATAAGCCCGGAAATAAGGAAATTGTTACGGCTCTAATAATACAAACTCTGGTTCAGGGCTTCAAAATGGTAGGTACCTATTTATTTGAAATCGCCGTCGATTAAATTTTAACTTTAAAGCTAAAATATCTTGAAAATTTCAGGAGCTACAACAACCAATTTTATATGAGCTTTTAGAGAATTTAATGCTCTTTCCAATGATGTATAATTATAAGCAATTTGCTCAAATATAATCGAAAGCATGAGCAATTATTCATGAGCGTGTCAAGATTTCAAAAAATGTCCAGAGCCAAAAAAATCGCTATCGTTTACGGTTTTTGAGAAAACTGAACTTAAAGTTTTAGACAAAAAGTCGATTAAATTCCAACTTTAAAGCAGGCTTGTAGCCAGGTTTTGATAACAGAGGGGGCAACTTAACATTCAGGAGGGGCAGACTTATTTTCATTTTCAGAATTATTAAAAATCACAAGGTGAAAAAACTTTATTTTCAGAAGTTAATAATAACTGATTACAAAATATAAAACCCTAACAACGCAAAGAAATAATAAAAATATATAAAAGCGAACTTATAAGGGGCGTAATGATAGAAATCAGTTTAGTTCTGTATTGGATTATCTCGAATTCGTCTGTAAAGAAATTTAATCATTTTTGTCTCAAATATTTGTCTATTCCAGGCTTTTGAGCCCCCTGCCTGTTTTCTTTAGTATTTCAATTTAAGAACCGGGAATAAGAAAATTATTGAATTTGTCGCGACTTTCCTGTCTATTCCAGGCTCTCAAGCTGAAAAGTTCAAGAATTCATAAGCTGTAACTCTAACTCTGATGGTTCAAAGAAAGCGCTACAAATGGCCATGGCCTACTAGATTTTTTTAATCTGTCAAAGTTGAGGTGATCTTATTTTATTGCACTTGGAAATCACCACAATAGGGAAGGTGCAACCTAACGAAACCACTATAATTGACTGACTACTTCAAATGTTAAAGTTAAGATGTTTTCTTTTCGATGTGGAGCTCAATTATTTTTGTCTCAATTATTTGTCTATTCCAGGCTCTTTAGCTCCTCCCTGTTTTCTTTAGTTTTTCAATGCAAGAGCCGGGAATAAGAAAACTATTAATTTTGTTTCGACTTTCGTCTATTCCAGGCTCTCAAGCTGAAAAATTCAAGAATTCATAGGCTGTCCCTGTCCCTGATGGTTCGAAGAAAGCGTTAAAAATGGCCTACTAGAATTCTTTGAACTGTCAAAGTTGAGGTGCTTTCATGTTGCTGTCCCAGACTTATTTGAAAAGTGTGGAGTGAATTTACTCTAAATTACTATTTTTGTTACACTTGGACATCACCACATATGAGAGGGTGCACCCTAACGAAACCGCTATAATTGACTGACTACTTAAAATGTCAAAGTTAAGGTGTTTTCATTTCGATGTGGAACTCAGTCATTTTTGTCTCAATTATTTGTCTATTCCAGGCTTTTGATCTTCTCCCTGTTTTCTTTAATTTTTCAATTCAGGAGCCGGGAATAAGAAAACTATTAATTTTGTCTCGACTTTTGTCTATTCCAGGCTCTTAAGCTGAAAAATTCAAGAATTCATAAGCTGTCTCTGTCACAGATAATTCAAAGAAAGCGCTGCAAATAGCCTACTAGCTGTTAAGTTGAGGTGCTCTCGTTTTGCTGTTCGAGAATTATTTGAAAAGTGTGGAGTGAATTTACTCTGATGTGAGTTCTTTTTGCTTTGCAGACGAATTTTAAAAAATCAACCGATCAAAGCACAAGACTGACAAATTTCAAATTTCATTGTTTTTCTAGTCTAGAGTGGGCAAGTTTTTCTTTCAGAGCGGGCATTGCCCACTCTGACCCCCTCCTAGCTACGGGCCTGCTTTAAAGCTGAATATCTTGAAAATTTCATGAGCTAGGAAACCTAATTTCACATTGTGATGTATTATCATTATTATTGTGAAATGTGGCAACATTGTTGTTAAAGGTTCTGGGTTCTAGGTTCAAACTGGTACTGGAATTTCATGGCCAGGCCAGTATATATTTGACTCAACTAATGAATGTATTGTGTGTCCAATAAATAGGTTTAGTAAATCTAAGGGTTGTAGTTTCAATTCTAGACTAACGGACATTACACACATGGTCCTATAGAGTTTTTTTCCCATCGAAATTTTCAAATAATATCGATTTCTAAGGTCAAAATAGAGAAAAATCCAAAAATGTATAATGGATTTGGATCGGATTAAAGGTTGCTTAGGTTCAAATATAAAATATGACAATCATAAAATTAAAATTAATCAAAAGAATTTACATTGTTAGATAAATTTGGTATGACCGAGGCAAAATCGGTTATCACTCCTATGGAAGCTAACTTGAAATTAGAAAAAAGGCTTAACCAACAAGATGAAAATATATCATATCAATGTTTGATTGAGTCATTAATGTTTCTTGCAGTAAATTCACGTCCTGATATAGTTTTTGCAGTTAATTATTTAAGTCAGTATAATAATTGCTATACAAATGTTCATATTCAACATGCTAAAAGGATCTTACGTTATCTAAAAGGGACTCTCAATAGGTAGTTGGTTTTTGAGAAAGATAATGATAATATTTGTGGATATTGTGATGCAGATTGTGGAAAGGACATTAATGATGGAAAATCTTACAGTGGATATGTTTTCAAGTTGGCCGGAGAGGCAATTTCTTGGGAGGCTAAGAAACAAAGTTGCATTTAGTGTATCCAGCACTGAAGCAGAGAATGTTTCCTTGTCATTGGTCTGAAATATATTTTAAAAGAGCTTTTTGGTTTTGGGAAGATGCAGTTTTGATTCTCAATGATAATCAAAGTGCCCAGAAATTGGAATGAAATCCTATGTTTCACAATCGTACTAAACATATTATTAACAAGTGTCAAGAGAATAATAATATTCAGTTAAATTATATACCAACAGATAAAATGATAGCTGATATTTTGATTGAAAGACTACATGGACCAAAACCTAATAAACGTGAAAAATTTTGGTTTAGAATAGATATTATTTAAATATTGCTGGATTCAGGGAAGCTGTTGGAGATGTTTTAATCCAGAATTACCTTCCTCCTATTATTGTGAATTTAACTGGTACCACTACATGTTTTTGATTGAAAAAAGAATATCATTCAATTTGTCATCCTTTAGCCATTATTCTGTAGTCACTTCTTGTTGGAATAAATATTTCTTAGTTTAATGCCGCAAACTTCTATTAAATTACCAATATAAACCTACAAAAAATAATTACCTACAGTCTGTAATACCTAATTGGATAATTTTAATGGTTCTGCAAAACATAATATGAATAATTACAATTATTGTTTTTAATTTATTATGTTATTGCTATTTGTTTGAAAATTAAAAAATTATGTTTCTCAATTTAATAGCTTGTCGTTAAACAAATTTAATAAGCTATTATGTATTTTGTTTTACATATATTGGTATTACAACACTGGAAACTTTCAATTAGTTTTTTATTACCAGAAATTACTTAATGTTAATAATGAAAAATTCCAAAGAAAAATACGGAAAAATCTTTATTGTACAGACTTATGAGACAAAAATTTTGGGGTTTATATGCAAACCAAAAGGATACTTGTAGCAAAACGTCAGCAAAATATTTGATGAGAGCCTCATCAATTATCAATTTCCGTTGAATGTTTTGGAAAGTTGGAACATATTGATGGAAAAATTCCCCAGTTACCTACCCCAGAAAATACTATGAGAAATCATTTTTTTTTGATTTTCAAAACAAAAAAGTGGAACACCCTTGGATTTGCAATGGAATGTTGCTTACAAAATTCCGTGTGAGGATTGCGAAATGTGTAGGTACCTATTTCATTGGTTATCGAGACGTGTTTAAGGGAGAAACCTAAACTAAGAGAGATATGCAGAGAAGAAAAACACAAATTTGCATCCTTATATTTTTGGTAGAACATGCAAGAAGGGAAGTTATAGTTTTTTCACTGGGTTCAAGGGAAAATTTACAACCCATTTTGGGTTAAAATCATTTATTTTTATCAATTAAAATCATAGGGGTCAGTGTTATAAATAATTTCCAATATTTATTTAGGGTTTGATAGGTTATTTCAGTTATAATTTTTTCCTAAACTCTCCATGAGTATAGAGCAGTATTTTTTTTCCAAAAAAATTCAATAAGTACCTACAAGTTTTTGAGCTAAATTTTTGAAAATTGGAATAGTCTTTAAACTAACTCAAAAAGTGTATTTTTAAAGAAATTTCAAAAAAACATACATATACAAAATTAAAAAAAATACAGACAAACAGTCATACAAAAAAAAACTAATAAAATCTCACCTCAGAAAAAAATAAGCAGCATTAAAAATCTCGGACAAATAAATCACAAAAACACTGAGAAGTACCACTCGATTGCGATAAAGTTTGGTCAGTACTGTTCGGAACGACTGCTAGGGCCCAAGACCACCGGACAATTGAAATTAAATGTCGAAAAATTTCGAAGAACTAAATAAAGCGATCAATTAGCAAATAATTTACCGATTTTCATGCACCTCGTGCGCCACATCATAGTGGGGGTAAACTAATAAATCTATCGAACGCCGAGTTTAGGATGCTTGGAGTGGTAAAGGAAAATATTATTGTTTCTTCAAAGGAATCATAAGGCGAGATTTGATATGATTGCCTTCAAACTCATTGGAAAGATGTATTTTTAAAATTATTGTTAAAAAAATTTGAAGGTACATATTTAATTTCATCTAATATTCATACATTTATTTGCATTTTTTTTGTACGAGGGTGTAGAAATGGACGCATATTTACGTATTCGTAATCAGAGTTAAAGGTTTTTCAAGATAAAAGAAAATTGAATCATTTATCTCAGATAGTTTTTAAGATATTGAGCCTCAAAGTTGAAACTTTGTCTCAAATTTTGGAAAACCTTCAAAGCCAATTATCTTGATAACAAAGTCCTATGGCTCAATGCCCCAAATAACCTTTTTTGAAGCCCGAATCGATATCTACAATTGGAAGAAATTTCGTGTTGATAGATTTCCTGCTTTCTAAAATATATATAGAAGTAGATACTACCTTTCGACACTACCGGAAATTAGTAAATTAGTAGTATTTACTTCGTTTTGAAGTAAATACTACGTAGAACATACTAATACTTGTAGTAGTAGGAAGTACTTCGTTTTTATTCATACCACCGTCTCAAATTTTGGAAAACCTTCAAAGCCAATTATCTAGATAACGGAGCCCTATGGCTCAATGCCCCAATGAACCTTTTTTGAAGCCCGAATCAAGATCTAGTGAATGAAATTTCGTGTCGATGGCTTTTCTGCTTTTTAAAATATAGTCCTTCGAAATATTTGAAAATTAAGTTTCCTTGGCATATACATCCTTTAGAAAAATATCAATTCTAATTTTTCTCATTTTTTTAATTTTTGATTTTACCAATCGAAAGAGGGGGTCAAATTTAGTGGAAAAGCATTTTCGTGATTTTCCTTTTCGAAGTTTTAAGGCCTGTAGAAAATTAAAAATTATTTTTGCATTGCCTCACAAAATCGCTTATAACTCAATATCTACAAGTTCTGATGCATCATATTTGGATATTCCTAATCAGAATTAAATGCTCTTTAAGATAAGCAGCTTAAAAATCGCATACAAGCTTAATTTTGTCTTTGTTCTTTGATATTAAAATTCCTTCTCAATTTAAGTAGGTATCCTGAATCATGGTTGTATTATATAAGTAAATTATTCTTGTCCTTCGTTATCTTCGTATATGAACAATAAAATCCAAAAAATTTATTTGCACAAATCTATCGAATAAATTCCCCAACTGATTCGGTAGTCTTTGTAACGCATAATGACGTCAAAAGCTTCTGTGTGAGGAATCACTAATTAATTGGATTATTCTTTCAGTGGTTTCTGATTTGAATATTTCTATTGTAAAGTATTAAGTATATAAACATTATGTAAACATAAAATACTTTAGACAACTACGTTATATCTTGCATTATGTACAGGGTGTTTTTTTTATATATTGACACCCCACCTACGGCACCTACAGCCTTTACCTTTACAGGTAGAAAGAAAGGTGTAAATACAAAAGTTGTACAGTTTTGGCTAAATTTTTAGAATCCATAGTCAGAATAGTTATTTATGCAACAAGTGTGTAAAGTGAACCTTTTCTCACGAATGTGAATTTTGACGCACGAGCCGAAGGCGAGTGCGACAATCACATGAGTGAAAAAAGGTGCTTTACGCACGTATTGCATACAAAAAATTTTCTACTACCTATCAAATATGTGTAAAAAAATAAATTTAGACAAATTCTTCACGCACTAGTGCGTAAAGTATTCTCACTTTACGCACTAGTGCGTGAAGTAATTTGCCAGAAAAATAGTAATTTGACAGTGTTGACATCTGTAATTGACATTACTTTACGCACTAGTGTGTGAAGTGAATTACTTTACGCACTAGTGTGTGAAGAGAAATTTTACGTCTTCTGAATAGTGCGTAAAGTGAGTACTTTACGCACGGTAGTAGAAAAACAATATTTGAATGTCAGAAAATTTTGCATGCTTCCAGCTTTTTTCAAATGGGATGCCCTATATTTCATTCTATATTCTTGAAGAGCACAATGCCCTGATTCCAAAAATATATAGTTTGTCTATATTTGATTGAACAGTCTCTCATATATTCGGCTCCAAAAATTGTGAAAATACTATCCTACTACTGATTTTGTGAACCATTCTACCTATACAGGTACACATAAGTTCCGCTATAATGCACTTATTTGTACAGGGTGTTTTTTTATATATTAACACCCCACCTACAGCCTTTACCTTCACAGGTAGAAGAAAGGTGTAAATACAAAAGTTGTACAGTTTTGGCTGAATTTTTAGAAACCATGGTCAGAAACAAAATTTGAATGTCAGAAATGTGAAATTTTGCATGCTTCCAGCTTTTTTCAAATGGGATACCCTATATTTCATTCTATATTCTTGAAGAATATATATATTTGATGAGCAATCTCTCATAAACTTTGTTTTTTTTTTTTAAAGATAAAAGTCAAAATGACATTATGTTGGCAATACAATGTAAAATTGTCAATGCTTCAAATTTTTTATGTAGAAAAGGCTTGTGTTGCCAACATAGTTACTAAATTTTTGACTTGGGGAATTATCTTTAAAAAAAAAACAGACTTTATATTTGGCTTCAAAAATTGTAAAAATACTATCCTACTACTGATTTTGTGAACCATTCTACCTTTACAGGTGAAAGCTGCAGGTAAAATTTGAGTTACTTGGTTTCTCTGATAGTATTTTTAAAATTTTTAGAACCAAATAAGTTGGATACGGCTCAACCAAATATAGACAAACTATATAGTTTTAGAATCGGGAAATTGTGCTCTTCAAAAATATAGAACCAAATATAGGGCATCCTATTTGAGAAAAGCTGAAAGTATGCAACATTTCACATTTCTGACATTCAATTTTTGTTTCTGACCATGGATTCTAAAAATTTAGCCAATTCTGTACAACTTTTGTATTAACACCTTTCATCTACTTGTAAAGGTGAAGGCTGCAGGTGGGGTGTCAATATATAAAAAAAACACCCTGTACAAAAAAGAGCAATTTTGAAAATTCGAAACTTTGGTCTTCAAGGATCAAATCTGCAGTCCATAAATTACTTTGGACCATATAACCTTTGCTACTTAAATAACGTATAATAATCAATAAAACTTTGTGGTTTGTTGGGTAATGATTAATTTTCTCAGGCACTATAACTAGAATTGAACATTTTTATTGTGTGTAGTAAAATACCTATAATTAAGAAAAATGGAAATTATTGTTTAGTAAACCACACTTTTTTTTTGGTAGGTAATTGATTCATGAGTCAAGGAAATTATAATAAAAATTTGTAACTGTAATGAAAACTATTTTATTCCACCGTAAAATGCATAAGCACAGAGTAATACAGCTGCATTATTCGATATGGTAATACACTTACTTAGAGACAAACGTTAACATTGTGCAAATATCATACAATAATGATTCTTGTTCAATGTGGTCATGGAAAAAAAAAGAAATATATTAATAAGTATAAAATTACGCATAATGAGCAATGAAACCCCTAGCCCCCGATTTCACCCTCTCAAAGTTCGGCCGATTTGTTTTGGCCAGGGTGAATTAGCCAATATTAAAAGTCGCCCCCTCCTTTTGTATACGTTGTTACAGTTCTTATAATGCACGTGTGCCAGAAGTTAATATTTCTATAACAAGGGGATGATCCCTTGCTGTCATAACATATGCTTCTGAACTATGGGTGTCGCTTATTGGATTATATAATTCTTCTTAAAGGATTTATTAATTTAAAATAAGTGTATTGGAGATGAGATATGATGGGTATACATTTATCTGCTTGACTCTCCAAGATTTGATTCAGATTTTCCAAAGACTGTAAAGACCTCCAGCTTCGAGAGCATGTTGATGTTTTAACTTTAGATTTTTTAGCATTCAAGGCTTTAGTCGTTGGGATTCAATCAATAACAGATTCTTTGTGCTAAAATAAATCTTCAGAATTTGTACAGTCTTCAGTTCAAAAACTCTTATTCGGCCTTCAAGAGGCCTAGAAGACTTCAAGATATTTCTTGCTTTAGAAATAGGCAGAGTGTTTCAAAGATTTTAAAGTTTTCAGGTGCTTCAAATTACGAGTCTTAGAATCTTTGGAATTTTTATTCTAAAATCTTAGAAAATCTTCAAAGCGTCCTTCAAAGTATTCAGTGATGTTTTGTGTTTTTAGAATCATTGGTGTTTTTATAGTCTAATTTCATGATTTTAAATAAATGTCAAAGTTTTGTAGTTATTCGGAGTTCTTGGTGCCGCAGAATTAAGAGCTTCGATATCTTTGAAGTTTACAGATTTTTTTACCTCTCTAAATCCTTAGATCCAACTTATTAATCAGCAGAGTCTTTGAAGTCTAAGTTCTTAAAACTTGAAAAATAAAACTTTAGAATTTTTAGTTTCTGTAAGTAAAGAGATCTTTAGATCTTTGGAGCCTTCAAGGACATTGAGAGTCTTTAGTTGCAAGTCATGAATTTTCACTTTCAATCTTCTAAATTTTTAAATTTTGGAGATTCCCAAGTTTCAAATCAATCAAGAGCCTTAGATTCTTTGAAACATTTCTAAGTCTGTAGAATATTTAGAAATTCCAGGCTTTGAATCGGATGAATCTTTGAAGTTTATAGGTTTAGACAACTCATAAAGTGGTTAGGATCTTTGAAGAGGCTTCTCATAAAGGGTCTAGGATCCTTGAAGAGGCTTCAAGTCAAAGAAAGGCTTTGAAATATTGGAATTCTTCTGAAATCTTCTTGGAAAGTTTCTTTCTAAAGGCTTCAAGAATCTTTACATCTTCGTCAATTCTTAGAGACTTTAGACTTCAATGATCAGAATCTCTAAAGTCTTTAGATGCAAGTCATGAATCTTAAAACACTTTCAAATCTTCAAGATTTTTAGATTTTGGAGAGTCCCAAGTTTTAAATCAGAAGCCTTAGATTCTTTGAAACATTTCTGAGTTTGTAGAATATTCAGAAATTTCAGGCTTTGAATCGGATGCATTTTTGAAGTTTATTGGTTTAGGCAACTCATAAGTGTTTAGGATCTTTGAAGAGGCTTCAAATCAAAGACTTTAAAATATTTGAGTTCTTCTGAAATCTTTCTTGGAAAGTTTCTTTCCAAAGGCGTCAAAAATGTTTACATCTTCGCAAATTCATAGAGACTTTAGTCTTTGTTGATCAGAATCTCTAAAGTTTTTAGTTGCAAGTCATGAATCTTCAAACACTTTTAAATCTTCAAGATCTTTAAATTTTGGATATTTCCAAGTTTTAATTCAGAAGCCTTAGATTCTTTGAAACATTTCTTAGTCTTTGAGAATATTTAGAATTTTCAGGCTTTGAATCGGATGAATCTTTGAAGTTGATAAGTTTAGGCAACTGATAAGTCTTAAGGATCTGTGCGAAGAGGCTTCAAATCAAAGACCTTAAAATATTTGAATTCTTCTGAAATGTTCTTGGAAAGTTACATTATTAACCAATTATAAATAAGTTATTTATGGGGATTAATAATCTTACAAATCCTCATGATATCTACTACCTACCATATTAGATTTGATGACGATTCCAGTAGAATCTTCAGCCGTAGATCTAAAATCATGAAAAATTTCAGTCTTTAAAATCCCTAGTGCTGTATCAGTGGAAACTTCATCATTCATTTGGTTTATGATGAGATTTTTTCAGAAACTGGTTCAAATATACCAAAGTGCCTTTCCAATGTCCAATAATCCTTAAACAACCCAAATTAAATTTGTCCAATTTTCAATATAAATGTCCCTCTAACGACATGAACCAATTCGTCATCGAAATTGACAAGCCGATGAAAAATCCTGACTGAAATCGGGAAACACGTGCGGTCTTTTGAACGTCTAAATAAAACAGATTACGTAAAAATGGGACAAAAGGCACATTATTCACGGTGGGTATAGTTGCCCCCTTTTCGTTATGGGCTATGCCAAATTAAGAGCGTTATACCGTGTAATAGGATTAAAGTCGAATTAAAATATTGGTTATTTGAGTGACTTTAGATAAATAAGAGAAGCAGAAAATTTTAATGACAAAGAAAATTATTATACACAAATTCCTATATAATATTTCACTTTATTAAATCCAATATTTCACTTCCATGTGGCAATATAGGCACTTCAAAACCAACATCGAATAAAGTCAATACTTGCTCTCAACCTATTTCCACCCTTATTCGCTTCATCCATAAAGTACCCTTAAAATTTTGCAGAGAGTATCAGGTTGCGGGCTACCCATTGGCCCTGAGCAAGGGTCGTTTTCCACCCTTAAAAGTATCTCTGGCCAATGGTGTAAAAGCCACCCTAGTCGATTCGGGGATAATTTACGAGATTCGGCCAGAGAGCAAATATTTTGGTATATTAGTTTAATTGGGCTGACGAAGTCGTGATTTTTACACCTAGACAAAAAGTTGTGATTGTATAATTTTCGTGTGCGTGTGAGTTTTCATTAAAACTGGTTACTAATGAAAATGTCTTTTTCTAGTGACCACGGTCCGTGGGAAGCAGGAAATGTAAGTACCTATAGGTATTAGAAAATCGTTTAAAGATATACTAATTTTGTAATCATTTTCCATATAGACATATTTAGTTATTCAGCTTTTCGGACAAAATTGTATTGATTTTGTGTGATTTATATTCCCATATTTGAGTCATAAGACGATTTGCCCTTTTTGTTTTCCATTGAAAGTCCTGTTCGATTAATTCAGATAATATTTTTTCTTTCAGTTATTACTTATTTTCATTCTTTATATGTAGGTATTTGACTATCTTCTTTATCTTGCTATAAAGTAGGTAAGTATAGTTCCAATTTTTTCCTCATTGTTATCCCAAATCCTTTCATCTAGTCGTGAAGTTATTAGACAGTCTGCTGATGCCGGACTACACTTTAGATTGATCTCTAGATAATCACCTTTTTCCTCACTGCTATCTCAAATTCTTTTATGTTTATATTTAGTTTCTTCTTGTTTCCTTCTATAATAAATCTTAAAAAATTCTCAGTCCTCTTTTTTACTCTCCTCGAAGGACAGTGAATGATAGTTTTGTGCTTATAAATTTTATCTTAAATTATTAAATCCTATTTCTAAAACGGAGGTGAGCATGACGTAGGGAGTTATTAGGCAGAGTCTAATGCCGGACTACACTTTTGAATGATCTTTTAGATAATCACCTTCTCATCTTTAGTTACTTTAATTACAATCTTGACCTTATTAGTTCTTTGTTTGTTCCGATTATCCGATTTCTGCTCATTAGTTTTTTAGTTATTGTCTGGGTTGCACGTAGCATTCGTCAGATTAGGATACGTTTGAAAAAATGGGAGTCTTTTCATTCTTTTCAGAAGCGGTTGAATCAACAGAATGAGTGAATATTTAGACATAGTAATAATTGAAAAACCTGATTAAAAGCTTTATTTGGATCCGGAAAGATCTTAACAATGCAATATTTGAGAATAGTACAATCAAACCTGATGATAATGGAGTAAGAGCTTTTTCAAATAATATCATATTCCCACTGACGGAACTGCTTCACAAAGACTTCCAAATCTAATAAATTATTTAAGAAAGTGTTTTGGAACGTTTCTAAATGGCTTAGTGAAGTTTTTTCAGAAATTTCTGACAGATTTTCAAGTATTTTAGAGCCCTATATTGAAGTTCCAAAGTGTTCCAAACTGGTTCAAAAGGTTTCCAGTTCTAACTTGAAGCCTAATTAATTGTCCTAAAAGTTCTGAATTGGATTTGAACTTGTTAGAAATATTTTTTCAGGTAATGACCAACGTGAATACAGGAACACTACGGCCCTGTTTGGGAATCGGCCCACTGAGCAGTGGACTCAGGCTTCCCGTGCCAATCCTTGACGCGTTTCGTCCTTGTTAGGACTCATCAGAAGGACATAGGCTGAAGCTCCCTGTCCAAGCAAAATTGAACTTCGTTGACCAGTCAGAAACAACTACTCCGAGGGCAAATACCCCTACCGGCGTTGAACTACACTGATTGGATCAATCAGTGTAGTTCAACGCCGGTAGGGGTATTTGCCCTCGGAGTAGTTGTTTCTGACTGGTCAACGAAGTTGGATTTGAACTGTTTTGGATACTTATTAAAGATGTTTCACAAACGACATTCAAGACGTCTGCTTACTTCTTCAAAGCGTCTTAGACATCTCATAGACATCGTATGTTACAAAACCTATCTGCCTAAAGACGTCTTCAGGACTAATATTTCATTATAATTACTCATTTTATAACATTCAATTTTTATCCTAAATTGGTTCAAAAGGTTCTAACAGGTTTCCAGTTCTAAATTGAGTCCTAAATGTTCTAAAAATAACTCTGAAACGTCTCAATTGTTCCAAAATGCTACTGAAAATTTTGATTTGGAATTGAATGGATGGTTTTGAATGCTTATTAGAAGTTCTACAGCAATCTAAATTTGTTCTTAAAAGCCTTCTGAAAGACGTTTTGTAACTTTTATCATGATGAATCCTATGATTCTCGCCCTTTTTAAAATGTTTCTGGAGATTCTAGAGCGTTTGGAGTGTTTTGGAGCATCATTAAATGGGTTTCAAACTTCTAAATTATTCCAAAATGCTTTCGGAAATGGTAAATCGGTTTTTGAATGTTTTGGAGTATTCTTAAATTGTTCTAAAATTTCCAAGATGTCCTGAAGCGTTACAGAATGCTTTTGGAAATTCTGAATTGAATTTTAAGTGTTTTAAAATGTCCAAAAGGCTTATTAAAGTTCTAGAGTGTTCTGTAGCATTCTATATAAATGGTTTCCAGTAATTAACTTCGAAATTGAATGAGAAACTAATTATGTGGAAAAGACGTCCCTAAGATGTCCACAAACGACATTCAAGACGTTTTGATTACGTCTTTAAGGAGTGTTAAAGACATCTTGGAGACGTCGTATGTTACAAAACCCAACGTCTTTTAGAAGTCTGCCTAAAAAAAGACGTCTTCAATAAGACGTCATTGAATTTCTTTTGAATACATAAACCATTATTCACTTTTAGACCCGGTTGTACGAAATAGTGTGGCTCTTAGTTGTCTTTAAGTTGTGAATTTAGGACATCTTATGGATGTTTGGTTTTCAGATGTTCATGTTATACGCAGACCTTAAAAAGGCGTATTTAAGACTTTGTGTGCTTTCTAGGTGGGTAAAACGTCGTGATACACCCCGATTAAAGTGTACATTCTGTAGAATAACCTTTCCTGAATCCGGATTGAAAATTACTTAAAATTTGCTGATTTGCTGAATTTTATGACTCATTTACTTCATTTCCAAAGTTAAGTTAATGGATATGTGGTTACCAATTTTTCAAGATTTTTATTAAAAGTTCTTATTAAAATACCTATTATCTATATCATTACTATGTCCCAAAAAGGACTATTATAAGTCAGAAGTATCAAGTATCCCTGTTAGTTTGACAAACATCTTCGTAAAATTATTGCCAAAAAAAAAAACAGATTGCATAAAAAATTCAAGAAATCTTGCTTGCATCAGAGTGAAGTCTGGTTCCGGACTGAATTGTGTTATTTAACATTTATTTCTAAAGCGGAACATCTTATTCCCGAAAACATCAAACATTTTTGGTCATACGTGAAGAGCCTAACAGTGTTTCTGGTTTGCCCAGCATAATGCAGTACAATAATCAACCCCTCATTAATTCTAAATGATATTGCTGATGCGTTTGCCTCGCACTTTCAGTCCTGTTATTCAAATCATGAAGATGTGGACTTGTCCAACAAAGCTCTGTGCCACTTTATCTTTTCATATCTTTACCGCAGAGGAAATCATCGAGAAGTTATCATCCTTGGATAAATCTAAGAGAGCAGGCCCTGATGGCATTGCACCCTTATTGTTGAAATCTTGTTGCTTCCCCTTGTAAACCCATTGAGAGCTCTTTTCCAAAGATCGATGGATGCAGGTTACTTTCCTTCCTTATGGAAAAAATCTTTTCTTCCCGTTTTCTAGGCGGGTGATAGTGTCGGTTATCAGTAATTACCGTGGAAAATTTCTTCTCTCTGCCATTCCTGAACTTTTTGAGTCGATTCTTACTGATGACATTCGAAACTACCGGAAATTAGTAAATCCTTCGTTGTGAAGTAAATACTTCGTAGAATATACTGGTACTACTTGTAGTAGTAGCAAGTACTTCGTTTTTATTCATACCGCCCATTATTCCTGTACAACATGGATTCTATAAATAAAAGGTCGTTCTGCTTGTACTAACCTAGCAGTTTACGAACTTTCTTGTTTCATCCGTTGAAGCTGGCTGTCAGGTTGAGAGTATTTATACTCTGTTTCTGCAGAAATCACAAACCAGTCAGAGCGAATTTCATTGGGTGAAAACAGTCAGAAAACTAGTTTCAACCAATGAAATTCGCTCTGACTGGTTTGTGATTTCTGCAGAAACAGACCTACTGATTATACTGATTTATCTAGCCTTTGACAGTGTTTGTCATCTTATTCCTATGGTCATCATGGTCATCTTCAGTCATCTTTTTACTGATAAAAAAATTGAAATTATCTGAGATCGGTGTCTCTGGTAATTACATTTGAACTGATTAAATTCTACCTATCTCAGCGTTGTCAGCTTGTTACTGTTTGTGGCTCTGTATCTTGTGACGTAGGTACCTACTTGTGACCTCTGGCGTCCCCCAGGGTTCGCATATCGGTCCTGTGCTCTTCTCATTATTTATAAATGATGTTTTACTATAATGTTTCAAAACATTCCAATGTCTCTTATACGCCGACGACCACAAACTCTTTAGCTCGGTTGGCCCTGGTCTCGATGGCTTATTGCAGTCTGATCTGTTTGTATAATTGTCTAGTTCGAAGTTTGTTAGAGTACTGTTCTGTGATCTGATCACCACGTTACGCTTGTATCATGTACAAAGACTGGAAAGAGTTCAAAGTAAATTTCTTAAATACCTGTTGTATAAACTTCACTTTCCTTATAGTACCGTTCCTTTGAGGTGTCAAAAGCCTTGAGTGTCGTCGAAGAAATGCTTATTTGTTGTTTCTCTACAAATTTACCAATGGAGTAATTGCCTGCACTTATCTTCTAAACTTGATCACATTTTTAATTCCAATAATACAAGACAAGTGCAGTTATTTTACTAGCGTTATCACAGAACTAAATATGGTCCTAATGTTTTTGTAGATTGTCTAGTTTATAATAATTATACATACCTAATAGGTATTTCCACGATTGTGATCTTTTCTCTGTTAGTTTGTTGGTATCTGTTAAGAAGATATTGAGAGATTTGTAATTTGCCTTTCCTGTATAGGGAGTGGCTGACTGTTTTTTATCTTTGTACCATTTAGAATATTTTATTCTGTAGTGTATTGAATTTGTAAATATATAAATAAATTACAATAACACAAAAATGAGAATCAATATGTTGTAACATAAACATTTATTCCTTAACAAATTCCATATGGACATTTAGTAAAATTATGATCATTTTCCATTTCATCATATAAGTAGGTACTACGTATTTATTTTCTTTCTAGGGTGCAGAATTTCCATCAGGATACCCAAACGAAATAAATGGTTACGGCGGTCTATGGGATCCCCATCATTTTCCTGGACAAAGTCCCGCTCTCGGAGGATATCCTGATATTTTAACTGCTTTCAATTCTGATTTGGGTAAATATAATGTATGATAAACCTTTAAATAATAGTGTATTATATTGCTCTTATTGGGTAATATTACTTTCTTATTTTCTGCATTGTTACTATTGTTAGTTATTTCTTCTATTCTTTCTTTTTTATACATTTTACATAACACTATACATGTTTCTTCTAGTTTGGCCACGTCAACAATGCGCAGGAGGTTTGGTATCGAGCCGCTCGGGTCGTAGCGGCTCTTCAAGCGGACATTCTTCGAAAAAACCACGTAGAAGAGTCGCTACGATAGCACAACGTAGAGCCGCAAATATCAGAGAACGACGAAGAATGTTCAATCTCAATGAAGCTTTCGACAAACTAAGAAGAAAGGTATAAAGAAAAACACCAAGCAAATCTTATATTTTTCGTACTTTATTACTTTTTTCTAGGTTCCTACTTTTGCATACGAAAAACGCCTATCTCGCATCGAGACTCTTCGTCTAGCCATTACCTATATCAGCTTTATGGCAGAGTTACTACATGGACATCCGTTGGATCACAAAGGCGGCGATATTTATCCTCCAAGAGAATACGTTCCTTATGGACTGATTAATTAATTTTTATCAAACTTATTTGACGCTTTTTTCGATGTTGTTGTTTTTGCTCACTCATAAGCTTTTTATATCAGAAATATTGACTCTGAAGTATTCTTTTGGTTCTGTGATATTGATTGTAGCCTAATATTCTTTGTACAAGGTTTGAGAGTCTAATCTCTTGAAATTTATGCTGAAATGTTCATACCTACCATGTTTTGTAAATGTCTCCTAGAAGTCTATTGTGGTAGAAAAAAAAACCTTGTCATTATCATAAATATCCATGTCTTCCATATATAATTTTTAAATGTGTATATTAAGTAATGTAATAAATAAAAAACTCCTAGTCAGATTAAAACCATTTTTATTACTAACTTTCTCATACAAACAAAAACCATTTAAGTCTTAATAGCATAACCAGCTATTTCATGCAAATTTGTTTCCTTGAAACCCATCACTATATCCCCTTTAATCAAGTGCTTATAAGATTTTTTGGCCCCAGTCAAATTCTCCATAAACGGAATACTACTTTTAAATTTGGCTTTTTTGAATTTCAGCTTCACAGTGCCGTCAGGTAGTTTTTCATTTTCACCTTCAGGATTACCAACTTCGCCTACCATAATATCAGCAATTTCTACTGATTTCATTTTGGCTTCGTTTATGTCGTTTTCAATTTCAGCTTGATAGTTGTCTAGAGTTTTGGATATTGAATTTATGTTCTCTTCAATGTTGTTTGCTTGCTCGTCGAATGCGGTATTGTCAACACCCTTGCTTCTCTTTTTTGCTTTCTTTTTCTGGATAAATTTATCTATGTATGATAATTCTGCACTGTCATTGAGCTTGCCTTCAATTTCCAGTATATCTCTGCTTTCATCTAATGTTTCGTTATGGATTTCTTCTTTTGTTGGTATTATTCTCTCTCGGGTTACATCACTAAATCTTACACTTTTCCTTCTTGTCACTCCTTTAATTTTTTGAATACTTGTTTCTGCGAAACTTTTGTTGGTTTTAGGCTTTTCAATTATTGGTGTTGGATTAGTAGCAATGTTTAACATTAAATCGCAACTAATTTCATCCTCAATAACTGTGGTGTCATTCAAATCTAATGCCGGGTTAGTTAAACCTTTATCTTCTTCTTTGGCCTTTTTATTTTTCTTCTTTTTTGATTTACGTTTCACTTCATATTCCTCATTTATAATATCTTGTGTATTTACATTGTCTTCACCATTAAACATTGGATTTTCTAGACCACACTTTTTCTTCTTTTTTTCTTTTAGTGGTATTTCATATGGATTTGCAATAGTTGGTACAGAAATGTTAGATTCGATGGCATTATTGAAAACTAGATTATCTATGCCTTCTTTAGATTTAGATTTTTTCTTTTTTGGACTAACATCTTGGCTATTTATTATATTAGATTGTTGTTCGTTTGAATTACTCTCTGTGGATTCATTTAGAGTTGACACTTCCATCTCTTCAATAGTTTCCTCTAAGTTTTTAGCTTTCCTCTTCTTTTTCTTTTTAGATTCATTTATGCTGGAATTTAGTTCAACATCTTCACTTTGAATTGAAATATCCATGTCAATGTTTTTATCTGGAAAAAAAATATTATAGTACTTACCTAGATCACACAATGTATTAACAGTGGTTACCTTTTCTCTTCTTTTTCTTTTTTGTGCCATCATCCTCCTTCTTTTTCACTTCAGGTGTTCCTTCATTGATGATTTGTACTTGTACTTCAAAATTTTCAGCCACTTGTCCCACTGTGTCATTAAGAGATTCACTCATGCTTTCATCTATTGGTTCCAAAATGTGCTTTTCTAATTTGGCTGGTGAATATAAAGGATCAAATGCTGGATTGGCTAGCCCAGAGTCTTCTGGTTTTTTCTTTTTGGATTTGTCTTTCTTTTTTTTGGTTGGAGTTTCATCAAGAGTGTCTGTTTTCTTTTTCTTTGACGGTGTATCTTCGTTATTAGTTGCATCTTCATCTAAAACTCTTTTTTTATCTTTTTTCTTTTTGGGAGTTGTTTCGTTTTCAGTCACATAGGATTTGAAACCAAAGCCAAAGCTGGGTTTAATTTCACTTTCCGATTCAGATTCTACTTTATTTGTATTAAATCCAAAGCCAAAACTAGGTCTTTGTTCTGTTTCTGAATCATCATCTTTTTTTAAAACTCCATTGTTGCCAACAACATAGCCGTGACTCTTTCCAAAACTTGGTATTTTCTTTTTGAAATAATCAGACATAAGGCCAGCATTGGAGAAATTTTTCTCCTTCACTATTTCATTGTTAGCTTCTGTATTAATTGATTCTTTTTGTATTTTCTTATTTTCTTTCAAACTCTTTTTTCCAAAAATATTAGCCAAGTCTTTTTCAGAGTATCGACTTATGTCTTTGCCCCTGGTGAATTTTCTATAGTGCACTCTGGCTTTGGAATTTTGTGACTTTTCCTCCAACGATTGTATTTTACTTTCAGTGTTCTTTTCATCTTGTTCGCCACCTCCTAAAGCAGCTAAAAGTGCTGTGAAATTTGTTTCGTGTTCTGTCCATTGGTCATCAGATTCCTTATAACCCACACCTAAAGAAAATAAATGAAAGTTGTGTATGTTCAAGGTCTGTTCCCACAGAAATCATAAACCTATAAGAGCAAATTTCATTGGTTGAAAACTGGTTGTTGACGATTTACACCAATCAAAAACACTGACTGATTTGTGATTTCTGTGAGAACAAACCTTAAGTCTTCTCAAATTGAACCTCAGGTTTAAACTTACTCACACAGGCTCCTATTATTATAGTTTGAATAATCATGTTTTTTCTCTATTCTACTTATTACCAAACAATCCTAGAAGTATGTGTACCATCGTCACCAAAAGTAACTGGAACAGCATCAAATTAGCTCTTGTCCTATTATATGAATTTTATTGTCAAATATTTGTTAAACTATGTATTAAATGCATTGAAATGAATGACAGTAGAATCAGTCCAGGAGATTATTATGCATTATTTGTGTCCCAATTACTTTTGGTGACGATGGTACATTTCTACCCAATATATTGCATTACATTAGAGTGATTTCTCCCAATATCATATTAACACAGATAGACATTACAGTAAACAAATTTTGTGTTGCCAACATCTAGAAGAGATCTACCTCTGGTGTATTGCTTGAAAACATTAGAGTTTCAAGACTAAAAACGATTACTGGTAATGTTGCAAGTTGCATCAGTGTGCATTTCTTCATTATTTTGGTCAAGTGAATGATGGGTTTTGTTTACACCTCTGATGCATCCCCACCATGAACCCCCATCACACACCTCTCCTTGCCCATAGGGGGTCTTGCCATCACAACAAACATCAGTTTATGAATAAAATACTTGTCAGTGCAATTTGTGTACAACAAAATGTAGAAAGTTCTCTTACCTTGACTGTCATTTTTGTAGGAAACTTTAATATGTTCCGTCCTTCCGTCTTCCTTTGCTCCCAGCCCTTTCCCTTGAGACCAACCCATTTTTTCCAGCAATTTCTGACCAAATTTGCTGCTATCTGTGAAAGAGGCAAGTTGGGTTTTAATCACGATAGTTTGAGATATAAGTATTTGGAGTTAACATATTCTCCTAATGTTAATTTTAGGTTGTTTTACTTACCCTGAGACCAAGCTTTGCCCCTTGGATTAAGGGACCATTTTTGCTTTCGTCTTTTCTCGGCCAGCATAGACATGGTAAGTTGTGGAAGCGATTTCCTTGGGAAAATTTAATTAATGAAAGTTAAATATAATTTTTGTTTGTATTTATAGGAAAACCCGTTTTTAAAGGGCCGAACCTTAACCTAAACTAAAAAAACCGCGTGTTTTTACAGCTGTCAGGTCAACTGAAGTCAGTGCAGACTGATCGAGTGAGCTCGCTCGAAGTGACGTAACGTGGAGTAGGAAAACAGTTTGTTCGGAATAGTTCTGGGTTCTGGTTCTGAATTGAACTAATTGTTCCTTTTCGGAGTTTACTGATTACGATCTATCCGCAAGCGTGTATTAATTATTTTTAGTTTGAGACGCGAGAAAACACCTGAGGCGTTTTCTCGCGTCCACTTATTTGAAACTATTTCAAAACTGTTTTAAAAATAGTACATTCTCGCGATAAACCCATGACGTCACGTCAAAACTGGTTCAAACCGTCTCGAAATACAATCCAATCCTTTCAAACCATTTTCTCGCGCCGAGAATTTATGACGACATGGTGACATTACTTGAACCAGTTTTGAAAAATGTTTTGAAACATTAGAGACGCGAAAATACGCCTCTATATTCTCGCATTTTGAGTGTGCAGTGCAATAATTTTTGTTCGGATCGATTTATCATGACCGAGCATTCCGAGCGCTAGCAGATCAGTAATTTCTATTCGGGCTTTTGCAGTGGTGCAACGGACAAGTACCTATTGTTCGTCAACTTTCCGTATGAGGAGCGAGGGGGTGAAGGATATGGCTGGGTGTGAGACTTGTGAGAGTGACCCTAGAGTAACTCTAAACAGGTGCTTACTTGGAGCGTTACGCTGGAATCGTTCAGACATCGAGAGTTGGCGTACCCAGAGTGCGCCCAAATTACCCCACTCAGGGACTGGGTTGAAAAATGCACCGCGGTTTTTATGGGGTTTGACGTTGACATTTACTGCAACGCAGCAACGCCCAAATACGTTTAGAAACCGGCACCCAGAGTGCACTTCAAGTGATGACGTCAACAAGACTGACAAACAACTACTATAGTTCATTGACTATACCTTCACGCTTCATTTCTAAACACACTCCAGCCATAAATAATTCATGGCTGGTATATTTATGTAACCAAATCTTGAATTACTACCAAACTGGTTCGAAATCGAATTTTATTGGGATTTGCGAACAAAGCTGTTTAGAGTAAAGTGAAACTTCTTAGCAGGCGTTCTGATATTTGGACAGCTCACCTCCGGGCTAAGTTAACTACAGGGTAAATATTGTAATTTTACTCGTTAACCCTGGAGTTAAAACCAACCCGGGGGCAATGTCATTGCCCGGGGGTGAGTCGCTATATTTTTTTTACTGTATTCCTTCTTTACATCGAATTACACGGAACGTGTCGCTCTAGAGCTTCTCGGAGTCACTTCAAAACTCACAATTATTCAGATAACTATCGGGGGCTTGTTTGGGAAGGATAAATACTCGAGTACATAGAGTTTTAAATACATAAGCTAGGTTCGGGATGCAACAGCGGAGCTGGAGTAGAGTTGGAGTGGCGTTTTTATCACGTGACCAAAAAGCTTTTAGAATGGATGAGTAGATTAGTGAAACCAAACGGCCAGGCCGTGCCAGTTTGCATTTGGAGTTTCTTAACTGAACCTAACGCTAACAACGTTGTTGACCCCCGCATGCATGTGAAGCTACTCTTTTAGCTCAAAATGACAATACCCGAACGCATCGGGAGTGTTTATTGCACTTGGAGTTTATAGAACAGTCATCTCGAACCAATGAACTCGAACCCACCTATTGCTATATAACTTGCGTTCGGTATTTTGCTCAAAGAGCAGAGCGTGCAGAGCGGAGCCGTAATCATGTGACCAGTGAGCGCACAGAGCAGTTAAACGCTGTATTAGGGATCGAAATTTTAATAAACGAACTCGAATGAGCCTGCACCTAGTACACTTTTTAAATAAACGAACGGTAAATTAATGTTCGGAGAACTCAAATCAAAATATTGAATGCACGCACGGATATTTGCAGTATGGAGTAAAGAGAGGGAGCTCGTTACTCGTACTCTGCGAGGAGTGCTCCGAAAGCCGAATAGATATGTCACAAAATGTCATTATCAGCTGGGTTGATTTATTTTTTAGTCAACTTTATACAAAACTAAAATAATTTCTATTTGTGATTCATTCTGTTTTTGTTTGTAAAATGTAATATTTCTGTGTTGTAATTGAAAAATGTCCGAATCAACTAACGTAAGTGTTTTTCTATGAACTTTTGAAGTTTAGCTTTAAAATCATTGAGAATTTTCTGCTTGTTTCATTTCTTTCTTTTTTCTTCAGGGATATATGAGCGATTCTGAGTGTTCTGAGGATGAAATAGAGCCCAAATTGAAATATGTACGTCTCAATAATGACCTGAGAGAAATTTTGAATAATACTTCTGCGACATGCATTGCAGTGCATACAAAGGTAAATAGATAACTACGGTATTTTATCAAAATTCCATTGATTTATTTTTATAACATAACAATAAGTAACCACAGACAAGGTCGAAAAACAATGCAGAATATTTATAATTATTGGTTCATGCATATTTACCTCTTTTTGGGAATAGTTTTTGGTATTTATTTGTATAAATTTGTATTTGGAAATAAACAAAAATAATTGTATTTATTTTCTATATACCTGTTAATTGTAATTTATGAGATTTGAAGCTGAAATTCTGGAACTATAAGTCCCCAAATGAGCTGGGATTGTAGTCATCTACTAGGATAAGAATCACTGAAAATTTCAGCTTTCTATCTTTAATAGAAAAAAAGTTATGACCTTTCAAAGTTTTCCAAAATCTAAAAATACCTTCCTACTAAAACAATGAAATTTAAAAAAATTCTGTTGAGATTTTGTGTCCTAATGGTCCTTTGGGATCCCCCAAATTCCATACACTAAAATATTCTGCGATTTGAAGCCGGATTCTATGGAAAAAGGCACTCAGAAAAATTGAAAAATTCATGAATCGCCCCAAATTGCTTGACATGATTTTATTTCTGGAACTATAAGTCCAAATGAGCTGAAATTTTCTGGGATTGTAGTACTCTAGTGGGATAAGAATCACTGAAAATTTCGGCTTCTATCTTCAATAGAAAAAAGTTATAACCTTTCAAAGTTTTCCAAAATCTAAATTATAAGGTAGCTGAAAAAAATACCTTCTTACAAAAACGATGAAATTTCAATTTTTTTTCTGTTCAGCTTTTGTGTCCTAATGGTTCTTTGGGATCCCTTAAACTCCATACACTAAATTATTCTAAGATTTGGAGCCAGATTCTATGAAAAAAGGCACTCAGAAAAATTGAAACATTGATGAATCACCCCAAATTGCTTGACACAATTTTATTTCTGGAACTATAAGTCCAAATGAGCTGAATTTTCAGGGATTGTAGTCCTCTACTGGGATTATAATCACTGGAAATTTCAGCTTTCTATCTTTAATAGAAAGAAAGTTATGACCTTTCAAAGTTTTCCCCTCGGTTTTCCCAAAATCTAAATCATAATAAACTCCATACACTAAATTATTCTGAGATTTGGAGCCAGATTCTATGAAAAGAGGCACTCAGAAAAATTGAAAATTTGATAAATCACCCCAAATTGCTTAACACGATTTTATTTCTGGAAAATAGGAAATTCCATACACTAAATTATTTTGAGATTTGAAGGCGAAATATTTGAAAAAAGGCCGTCAGGAAATTGAAAATAACAAAATTTCCCTTTTGCCATTAACAGAATTATTGCAATCAGCGGAACAACCCAATATGAAACATTATCAAACCTCAGCCAAAATCCTTTTTCCAGTTTGTCTGTCTCGGATCCCACTGGGGCGTCATTTACGTTCTCGACCACCAAGGCAACAATATAGTGAGCAAAAAATTGAAAGCGCACACTGTGAGTGTCAATCAAATATCGATCGATCAGACTGGCGAATACATTGCCACTTGTTCTGACGATGGCAGGGTGTTTGTCCACGGACTATTTTCCAAAGAGCATAATTTCAATCTCAACATTGGAAGGCTTGTCAAGACTGTGGCCTTGGATCCTAGTTTTTGTAAGAATCCTACTAATAAGAGGTTTATTACTGGTAAGTTGATGCAATCAAACATCAACAATTTGTATAATTATGATTTATTTAGGTGATGATAAATTGACTTTGTACGAACGCACATTTTTGGGCAATCTACGTCCCACTGTCCTTTGTGAAAGTGAAGGTTTGGTTCGGAGCCTTTGTTGGGGTGAGAGTTTTTTAGCTTGGTCCAGTAATATTGGAGTCCGAGTTTATGACATGAACGCCAGATGCTCATTGGGAATGATAAAATGGGAAGAACATCCAGGGTTAGTTAGTGGTTTTATTAATTTTGATAGATTTTTTATTTGGTATAAATTAGTGTGTCAATAGAAAAATTTAGATGTAATCTACGGTGGGCCGATAGCCGGACACTTCTTATTGGCTGGGTGGATACTGTAAGGGTTTGTGTAATAAGGAAAAGAAGCAATATTGAATTGGCTGTCAGAGCTTTGCCTGAATATTTAGTTGATCCAGGTAAAATATAACATATTATGCAATTTTATTAAATTAACAAACAACTTTTTAGTTTCTACATTCCAAACAGAGTTTTATATTAGTGGAATCGCACCACTTGAACAACAATTAGTTTTGTTGGGTGTACCCAAAGAACAAGATGAGAACAATAAGAGTTTACGTCCACAATTGTATATAGTAGAATATAAGGATAATGATTATAGTGATATTTGTACTGATAGTTTAACTTTAAGAGGTAATTTGAGTTTTATTTTATCGGCTACAATTAGTAATTCATTAATTTAAAGGTTACGAAAAATATTCGGTAAACGATTACCATTTAGATGTTTTAATAGAAGAAAACATGTTTTTTATTGTTGCTCCAAAAGATGTCGTTATTGCTAGTCCTTACGATTTAGATGATAGGATACAGTGGTTCATCCAGCACAAGTAAGAATCTATTTTTTTCAATTAGCAAATTGTTTTCAAATATTCTTATAGTAAGTTTGAGGAAGCTTTGGATATACTAATGCATAACGATGGCCGTAAAATCCACAGACACACCGTTCAAAGTGTAGGGGTAGATTATTTGGATCATTTGCTCAGTCAAGGCATGTATGACGCCGCCGGCATGTTGGGGTTGAAAATTTTCGGGAAAAATCCTTCATTATGGGAGGATCAGATTTATAAATTTGCCAGAGTACATCAGTTGAGGTAAATTGACAATAATTTTTTGTCATACATTTATTATTACTAAACTTTTTTAGATCTGTTAGTCCTTACATACCAAGGACAAAAGAATCCAAGTTAAATCCTCACATATATGAGATGATTTTGTATGAATATTTAAAACTTGATGCTCAGGTAAATATTTTATTTTGTCTCAAGTGGCTACTCATTATCTTGAATATTTTAAGGGTTTTGTTCAATTAATTAAAGAATGGCATCCGGACCTCTACAACGTTTCCGCTGTCATAAACGCTGTACTAGATCACATAATTCATGACGATGCCAATAAGGATACTTTCATAGAAGCATTGGCTATTTTGTATAGTTACGTGCAAAAATATGATAAAAGTTTATCCATGTACCTCAAGTGAGAATTTACCTATTTTATTTATTGTACGATTATTTCATTGATGATTTTTTTTTAGATTAAAACACAAAGATGTTTTCACTTTAATCCAAAAACACGACTTACATAATGTAATCCAGGACAAACTCACAGATCTGATGGATTTGGATTATAAAAAAACTGTTGCGCTACTTTTAGAAAAAAATAATATTCCTTCAGAAAAAATTGTCGCTAAGCTTAGGGCGAATAATTTACATTTATATAGAGTAAGTTAATTGAAATTCAGGTAAGGAGTTTTAATATTCCTTGCAGTTTTTAGACGAATATGACAAAAAAAATACCAAAGGCAAATACCATAAAGAGTTAGTGGAACTATACGCAATATTTGATAGGTCAAAGCTATTGCCCTTTTTAAAAAAATCTGATCATTATCCTATACAAGAAGCTTTGGATATATGCAAGAAGAAAAAGTATTTTCCTGAGAGGGTTTTTCTTTTAGGTAATTTCTAAGTTTTATAAAATCGAATATCCTATAATGATTTTTTTAGGAAGAATGGGTGATACGAAAAAAGCTTTAGACTTAATTATAAACGAACTGAAAGATATTCAATATGCCATATCCTTTTGTCATGAACATGACGATACAGATTTATGGGAAGATTTGATAAATCATTGCATAAATAAACCAGGTTAACATTCAAATACTTATATTTTGAAACAATGAATTGAAAATCTTTTTGTAGAATTTATAACATTTTTGTTGCAAAGTATTGGAAGCTATATTGACCCGACTACTTTGATTTTGAAAATGAAAGACGACATGGAAATTCCAGGATTGAAAAATTCTTTAGTGAAAATGTTGAACCAGTATAATTTACAGGTATACATTGGTTGTTGGTTATAGGTGTTTTTTTTACAATTCTTTTAGGTTTCAGTTCAGGAAGGATGCAAAAAAATTCTGGTTTCAGATTATTTCAATCTTCAAAAAAAATTAGTACACGTTCGTCAGAAGGGTACTTCAGTTTGTGGGGAGACTTTATGCGGTGCTTGCCATTATAAGCTCATTCAAAGTGGTAAGGAATATTACTTTTTTTTTTGTAGGAAATATTATATTTACTATTTTTCAGATATGTCTAGAGTTACTGGTCTGAAAATGTTTAATTGTAGACATATATTTCATAAGGAATGTGTGGGAGATGATACCACTGTTTGTGTAGTTTGTTATCCGTCTGAAAATAAATAGGTTTGGGGTGACGTCAAAAATAAAAAGTGAGTATGAAGAGCTTTATTAAGTAGTAGTTCAAATATGAATGAAAAATAATGTTTATGAAAATTGTTGAAGAATTGCAATTATTGTCTGTGTGCGGCAGCAGAGTAGGTGATGGCTGATCAATAATCCTCTTTTACTGTATTTCTACAGGGTGATCTCATAAATGTCACCACCTCCTAACTTTTTCATTTGAGGTTTTTGACAAAAATGTCAAATACAGAAGTTTTGTATGTTAAGAGGATGGTGAGAAGCTCATTTTCCCAAAATTTAAAAATTTTACAGTGGAAAACAGCAACATGAAAAATCTCGGAAATCAACCTACAATAACTGAATTAGTTGAAAATACAGTCTCACATATTTCAAAGTTTTCCTGAAAAACTAGTGAAGGGAAAATTTTGAAACTTTTTGCATGTTAAGAGGAAGGTGAGAAGCTCATTTTCCCAAAATTTAAAAATTTTACATTGGAAAAGAGCAACATGAAAAATCTCGGAAATCAACCTACAATAACTGAATTAGTTGAAAATACAGTCTCACACATTTCAAAGTTTTCCTGGAAAACTAGTGAAGGGAAAATTTTGAAACTTTTTGCATGTTAAGAGGAAGGTGAGAAGCTCATTTTCCCAAAATTTAAAAATTTTACATTGGAAAAGAGCAACATGAAAAATCTCGGAAATCAACCTACAATAACTGAATTAGTTGAAAATACAGTCTCACACATTTCAAAGTTTTCCTGGAAAACTAGTGAAGGGAAAATTTTGAAACTTTTTGCATGTTAAGAGGAAGGTGAGAAAACAGCAACATGAAAAATCTTGGAAGTCAACCTACAAAAAATGAATTAGTTGATAATATAGTCTAACACATTTCAAAGTTTTCCTGGAAAACTAGTGAACGGAAAATTTTGAAGCTTTTTGCATGTAAAGAGGAAGGTGAGAAGCTCATTTTCCCAAAATTTTCCAGTGGAAAACAGCAACATGAAAAATCTTGGAAATAAACCTACAATAACTGAATTAGTTGAAAATACAGTCTCACACATTCCAAAGTTTTCCTGGAAAACTTAGGGAAAATTTTGAAATTTTTTGCATGTTAAGAGGAAGATGAGAAGCTTGTTTTCCAAAAATTTCAAAATTTTCCAGTTGAAAACAGCAACATGAAAAATCTTGGAAATCAACCTACAATAAGTGAATTAGTTGAAAATACAGTCTCACACATTTCAAAGTTTTCCGGGAAAACTAGTGGAGGGAAAATTTTGAAATTTTTTGCATGTTAAGAGGGAGGTGAGAAGCTCATTTTCCCAAAATTCAAAAATTTTGCAGTGAAAAACAGCAACATGAAAAATCTAGGAAATCAACCTACAATAACTGAATTAATTGAAAATACAGTCTCACATATTTCAGAGTTTTCCTGGAAAACTAGTGAAGGGAAAATTTTGAAACTTTTTGCATGTTAAGAGGGAGGTGAGAAGCTCATTTTCCCAAAATTTCAAAATTTTTCAGTGGAAAACAGCAACATGAAAAACCTACGATAACTGAATTAATTGAAAACACAGTCTCACGCATTTCAAAGTTTTCCTGGAAAACTACTGAAGGGAAAATTTTGAAACTTTTTGCATGTTAAGAGGGAGGTGAGAAGCTCATTTTCCCAAAATTTCAAAATTTTTCAGTGGAAAACAGCAACATGAAAAACCTACAATAACTGAATTAATTGAAAACACAGTCTCACACATTCCAAAGTTTTCCTGGAAAACTTAGGGAAAATTTTGAATTTTTTTGCATGTTAAGAGGAAGATGAGAAGCTCGTTTTCCAAAAATTTCAAAATTTTCCAGTGGAAAACAGCAACATGAAAAATCTTGGAAATCAACCTACAATAAGTGAATTAGTTGAAAATACAGTCTCACACATTTCAAAGTTTTCCTGGAAAACTAGTGAAGGGAAAATTTTGAAACTTTTTGCATGTTAAGAGGGAGGTGAGAAGCTCATTTTCCCAAAATTCAAAAATTTTCCAGTGAAAAACAGCCACATGAAACATCTAGGAAATCAACCTACAATAACTGAATTAATTGAAAATACAGTCTCACATATTTCAGAGTTTTCCTGGAAAACTAGTGAAGGGAAAATTTTGAAACTTTTTGCATGTTAAGAGGGAGGTGAGAAGCTCATTTTCCCAAAATTTCAAAATTTTTCAGTGGAAAACAACAACATGAAAAACCTACAATAACTGAATTAATTGAAAACACAGACTCACGCATTTCAAAGTTTTCCTGGAAAACTAGTGAAGGGAAAATTTTGAAACTTTTTGCATGTTAAGAGGGAGGTGAGAAGCTCATTTTCCCAAAATTTCAAAATTTTTCAGTGGAAAACAGCAACATGAAAAACCTACAATAACTGAATTAATTGAAAACACAGACTCACGCATTTCAAAGTTTTCCTGGAAAACTAGGGAAGGGAAAATTTTGAAACTTTTTGCATGTTAAGAGGAAGGTGAGAAGCTCATTTTCCCAAAATTTAAAAATTTTACAGTGGAAAACAGCAACATGAAAAATCTTGGTAATCAACCTACAATAACTGAATTAATTGAAAATACAGTCTAACATATTCCAGAGTTTTCCTGGAAAACTAGTGAAGGGAAAATTTTGAAACTTTTTGCATATATGGAGGAAGGTGAGACGCTCATTTTCCCAAAGTTTCAAATGTTTCCATTAGAGAAATTGTCAAAAGTTTCTAACTAAGTCAGTTTTAAGCATACAGGGTGTGTCAAAAAAGTGTAGCAGTGCGAAGTTACATTGTTTTAAATGGAACACTATGTATACGGGAAAATCATGGAAACTTGCATGGTAATGAATTTATTATCTAACATCACCAAAACATATCACCGTCCTCCAAGTCCAGAGTATCGATAAATTCATCGAAATACGGACTCTCTGGTAACTTATAAGGTTCCAAATTCAAAAAATAGTCCTTAGTAAATTGCATAATATTTTCGGGCTTCAATAGTAGAGCACTTTGCAGGTAATCGGCCAGCATGTCTTGAATTTCCGGATGGTCTCTGATGAAAGTTTGCATTTTGAATTCGGCTTCCACTTTGCAATCCAAATATTTCGATACCAATTCCATGTTGGTTTCCCATACTTTTTTCAAAGCTATGTAATCGTAGGGTATTGGTTTGCCGTAAGTGACAAATTCCGGATTGATGTGGACGATATACGGACATCCTTCCCATTCTTGACTTATGATCATACCTGGAAAACAATTCATTGATCCCAATATTTGAGAGTACAAAAAATCTGTTACCATAAACTGTCAATACTGTAACCGATAAATGTATTATACCACACTCTTCCATGATGGTTCTATATATTTTACAAACATCTACAGGATGCCCATTCACAAAACCTGGTTTAGGCCCTTTACATTCCTGAAAATCAATATTATTAAAACAAATAAATTTGTTTGATAAAAGTCTTACATAAATATTTCTACACATTTCTCCGTTAATATAAATCGTTGATAGTTCAAAGACTCCTCGATATCGTGTAATGGCCAAATAGCGCATCAATATAAAATTTGCCCCTTCTCCAATCAAATCTTTGGTTTTGCTCAGTGAGTAATAATTTCGTTTATCATCACTGATTGCCTCCGAACAATCTCGATATTTTATATAATACTTGTCTTTCATCAGGGCAAAATACAAACGTTTTTCTTCTTTGGGTTGATGATAAAAATACCTATATATTAATATTACAAATATTTTGTACGTATTTATATTCTTAACTCTGTTCTTCTTTCTTCCATAGTATGAAAATCCTTATCTACCCACGATATGATTCTGGATCCGGCGTTTTCTCCATCGACATCGAATTCGGACGACAAATGCACAACAAATTTGTGGGGCGCCTGACGGATTCTGTCTTCAAGAAATTCTTTGTATCTTTGCAACTCAATTTCTTCTGTTTCGGGTGGCTTCAAAAATGTACTCGAGCCAGTAGTTTTGACTGCTAACTCTAAAAAATATTAAAACAATTACGATTATTTCAATGCTTGTTGTACCCTTACGTTTTTTTAATTCTTTAATTTTTTCTTTGATATTCTCGTTGATTTGTTTCTCGGTGACGTTTGATTCTGGCTGTGCGCCTCGTACTAGTTCCACTTTCAGGCACAGACCTCCGACGGCTTTAGGAGTGGCATTTTCCTCGTCCAATTCGTCAATGTTGCTTATTAGCAAAGTTTCGCGGAAACATAAACGTCTTATCAAAGTTTCATCTAAAATATTAATCAAACAGTTACCAGTTATGATTTATATCTATGTAAGAGTTAATATAACATAAATTTTTGTGTGTAATTTTATATTTATATACTTTTTACAATAGATACTGCATTGCTTTTATATAATGTGCAGTATTATTAAATATAAATTAATACTTTTCTTGATTATTATGTAGAATCTATTATAAGACATATAAGTATAATATAACGCTTTTGTATTTATTGTTTAATTGTTATTATTTCATCATAGATGTTCAGGAACAATATAATAATGCTTATTTGTTATTTCTGTCTAATTTTATTCTTTTTATTCATAGTTTTTTTGGCCTGAATATCTATGAAGTTTTGATGTATTTTTGTAATGATTATTATTGCTAGTGCAAGCGAAAAGTGATATGTAATGTTGTTTTATTTTTATTACCAAAAGTGGGTTTTGACAGTGTATTAATATATCATATTATTATTTAATTTTATTTGGTTCTTTAATTTACTGCAATGCTAACATCCACCAGTCTGACGCGTACTATTATGATTTTGGGTCTGCTGATTACACACTCCCTCAATGATAATTTTCGGATGGTTCGCTGGGATAACTTACTCCGGGGTCTCGATGTGACGGAAATGACCAGGATTTTCTATGCCGTTCTCTATACGGCTATCGATTGTTGTGTACCAAAGAAGAAGCTCTTAAGCCATAAATTTCCACGATGATTCTCCCCTGAGCTAAAAGACCTAATAATTAGGAAGAAAAGTGCCCACAGAGCTTGGTAGCAGACGGGTTCCCCTGCTGACTATGTTGAATTTTCACACCTTCGGGCTCAGTGTAAGACTCTTTCCAAAAAATTATGTCGTATGCTCAGAGGTGTCATTGCTTAAGGATAAAAATTTAAAACATTTCTGGTACTTTGTCAATGCTAGACAACAGACTTATGGGTCCCTTCTTACATGTTCTATGACAGTAAATTCGCAAAAACTGGACCTGAACTAGCTAATCTCTTTGGTACATACTTTCATTCTGTATTCTCAAATAAGGCATGTGTAATTTGCCAAAGCATTTCTGATAGTAACACTCACATTCATGATTTTGGAATCTCCATCTCAGTTATTTACGAGGAACTGTGTAAGCTATGGATCTTTCGTGGACCTGGCCCAAATGGCATCCCCCCTCTGATGCTCAGTAGATGTAGCTTTATAGTATTTCGTCCTTTGTTTATTTTGTTAAATGGATCACTTAGTAGTGGGGTATTACTTGAGATTTGGAAGCGGAGTTTTATAAATATAGGCCTATCAGTATCCTTAACACTATCCCTAAGGTCTTTGAGAATATAGTTAAACTAAATTCTTAACTCCTGTCATCAACCCTTGAAGGAACAAGAAGCAGGTTTCCGGCCAAAATACTCAACCGAAACTAACCTCCTGACGTACCAGGATAAAATCTCAGAGATTCTTGAAAGCGGTGGAGTTCTTCACTGCATAAATACCGATTTTTCGGATGGTGGGTCACAAGTGGCATGGAACTCAATGCCTTTAAATGTAAAACTATCGTTTTCTCCAAAAGTCAAAGCCCCATGCAATTTGCTTACCAAATAAACAATGAACCACTTGAAACAGTGTCCCAACAACGTGATTTCGGTGTCATTTTTGATAACTCGTTGAGCTTCTCCAGCAACATTTCGGATATCGCTACCAGGTCTCTGAAGCTGCTGGGCTTTGTTAAAAGGTGTACAAAGGACTTCACTAATATCTCTTCCATTAGGCTTCTCTACTAGTGTACAATGAAAAGGCCCATCCTGGAGTAGGTACTGCTCCTCGGTTTGGTCACCTATGTATTCTGTCCACATCAACGCCCTGGAGCAGGTGCAGCGTAAATTTGTACGGTATTTGGCCTTCAAGACAGGTACCTATTCCTCCTCCAGAAAATTATATCTACAACTATGATGACCTCTACCGACGCTTCAACATGCAACCCTTAGCCGCTAGACGAAATCAAAGGGATTTATTAACATTCTTCAAAATACTGAACTCTCACAACGCTTCCATGTACCTACTATCCAAAATTGGACTTCATGCCCCAGGAAGAACCACACGCTCTTCCACTACTTTCTCAGAAAAGATTCACCGGACTAACTATGGCACGAAACACTTTCATTTCCAGAGCTTCTCAAATCTCCAATGAGTTCAATACCCTCGACTTTTTCAGTACTCGTGTGAAGACTTCAAAATAGAGCTTAACTCCCTGAACAAAGTTCCTGTACCTATTAATTGTTAATGCGATGTTTAGTGATAAGAAATAATTTTATTGTGCGTTTAAGTCTATTCTCAAACTGATCTATGAGCCGCTGAAACGTTGCCGGCGCATTTTTAAGTGCGAATGGCATTCTCGTATAACGAAAAATAACAAACGTTGTTGTAAAAGCTATTTTATCGCGAGCTGGCTCATAAACACTTACTTAATGGTAACCGGATCTGAGATCAATGGTTGTCATGTAAAGAGTCTGTTTCGGGGCGTGTAATAGCTCATCCAATCAGGGGCGGATACAGACCTTTTGAAAGCGGGGGGCAGTTTAAGTTAAGTAAGCCAGATTGTGTTAGTTTAGGTTAGTTTTGGCAGCGCATTGTGCAAGATGCGGTTTTTCGAAGGAATGGCCCATAAAAATATGGGAATGGGGGAACTATTTAGGAGAATAGGGTGATTTTAAATAGGTAAGTACAGGCTGTTTTTTTATATATTGACACCCCACCTGCAGCTTTTACCTTTACAGGTAAAAGAAAGGTGTAAATACAAAAGTTGTACAGTTTTGGTTGAATTTTTAGAAACCATGGTCAGAAACAAAATTTGAATGACAGAAATGTGAAATGTTGTATGCTTCCAGCTTTTTTCAAATGAGATGCCCTATATGTAGTAGATGGCTGCGGAACTCGCTGCGCTCGTCCCGCAGAGGTCCACTCATAAGTTCCGCAATAATCCACTTATCCATCAAATCAAGATCAAGTCAAGTAGCTTGAAAATCAAGTCAAGTCGTGAATCTCTTCTGACTGTAATAGCATTAAATTTCTGGTAGTCAACACATAGTCTTAAACCACCTGTTTTCTTAGGGACTAGTACAACTGGTGCAGCCTATGGACTTTGGCAATTTTCTATAATGTTATATTGTAATAGCTTATCTAATTCTTCTTTCAGAAGTTGCTTTTTCTATGGTGATGGTGCCAATCTGTATAGAAGTAAAGACATTGGAATGTGTTCTTTGGTGTTATTGTAATGCACGGCGTTGCGACTCCCCCCAGTTTGAAATGTATCCTGTCTTTCTCCTAGAAAGGCGTTAAATCTTATATTTTCATTTTCTGTTAGCATGGGTACCTCCATCAGGCCTCAAAACATTTGTAGTTGTCATTCCTGAACTTATTTAAATTTAAAAAAAAAAAAAACATAAGGATAATTCAAGTGCCTGGAATAGACAAAAAATTAGTTGACACAGCGGGAAATTGAAAAGAAAAAAAGAAATACATTAAAATAAATTACAGGAGAGAATAAATGAAAAATGAAGATTCAGATGGGACAAAAAAATGAAAATAAGTTTAAAATGACTTTCTGGAAGAAATAAAGCTCCATACCAATATTCCATAATGAATAGACAACTTGATACATTTAAATATTTGGGTGTCACATCTTATAGACTTATATTTTGTCTTTTCAATGATTGAAAACATTTTAATTTTTTTTTTGTGTGGATTCTCAAGTCATAAAATGATATTAGGTCTGTTTCTGCAAAAATTGCAAACCAGTCAGTGCGAATTTCATTGGTTGAAAACTAGTTTCAACCAATGAAATTCACTCCTGCAGACCTGTTATCTCAATTTACCAAGTTCTGTACAGTCAGGTATAACATCCTTCAGATCGAACAAAGCATACTGATGATGCGCCTTCAAGCTTCTCAAGTACTCGTGCCGGCATAAAACGGTTCTATCAACTTCATTTATTAAATCATTCAAAATTTCTTCAACTATAAACAGATTTTTTTGTTTTTCCTGGCTTTCTTCAACAGCAGCTAACTCTAAATAAATAATTAGTTGAAAGTATTTTGGATTATAAGAAACAAACCTATTGCATTTATTTTCTCAAAATCGTATGATGATGACTCTTCAACTGCTTCAGTTTGACTTTGAAGGTATTCGATTATAGTATCTTCTACATACTTTTCTATGGTTTTAGGTTTGTTTGTGAGAAGGGAAAGATTCATTTTTTTTTTTTCAAAATGTGTTTGTCATTGATATGTCAGAATGTTTGTGTATCAATCATTTTTGATATCAAAACTGAAGGTTCTTGATGCTGTGATTCTTGTATGGTACCCGGTATGGTATGGAAGAACATTACATTGTCCCCTCGTTTTTATTCTCATCGGTGACTTCTCACTGACTTCACCGATGAGTTAGCTATCTTTGTTTAGTGAATGGAAAATGACGGCCATAGAATGGTGGATTCATCGGTAAAATTTGATGAGAATAAAAACGCAGGGAAACTTTCTCATAAAGTTTCAAAGTCAAATATGAACCCTGGTGAAACAATTTGTACATACTTTATACTTTACATGAGTAATTACTAGGTAGTTTAGCAAATAAAAAGATTATTATAGATTTGAATATATGTAAATATAATAAGCAACCAAGTTATTAAAAAAATGTATTCAGAGATATTTGTTTATAAAAAAAAGAATTAATACAGTGTCCCATTTTTTCTTAATGTTTATTCCTTAATGTTAACTTAAAGCTTAATCCATTCGGGTCTTCAAGTTCTTGATGGTGACTTTATCCTTTTCACTGCAAAAAGAAAATTTGTTAAATTAACCATTGAGATCATCTACATGTAGTGATGTGAGTCGAGAATATTCCCATGCGAATATTCGCGAACATTGGGAAATTTCCGAGAATATTCGCCGATAAAAAATGGAAACGTTCTCCTGAATGAGAATATTCCCGGAAACTTTCAATCAAAAACTCTCAAAAGAATATTTCCGAGAACTTTCGAGAATATTTCCAAGAACTTTCCAGAATTTTATAAAAATGCGAGAATATTGCGATTACAAGGTCTCAGTGACATCATTTCAATTTATGTGGATGACGTAGTGCAGTCCAACTGTCATTACAAAAACGCTGATCCGATTTACCCGATCAGCTGATGTACCTACAGTTTGTCTTTTCTTTAAATAATCTTCATTGAAGAAAGATAAAAAATAAAGAGCTGAGAGATTGAGTTAATCAGATCAGCTTTTCCTTCAAAGCCTTATTCAACCATCCATAAAAGTTTTTTTACTACATAGTTCAAATTTTAGCTGATCTTACAGAAAAAAATAGGTGTTTTTCTTAGTTTAAAGTCTATAGTCAGTACACTACAATAATAGGTAAATAAAGCTTACTACGATTTGTCTGATTTAGCTATAAATTTAAAAAAAAAAACAATATTTCCATAAGTTCCCGAAAATTTCCGAGAATGTTCGTGGCTTTTGAATGTTTCGGGAATTTTACATCACTATCTACATGATTATATAAAATCCTGGTTAATGGAGTATCAAATTCATTAACTGAGAGTTAACATCATACTTACATTATGTATACAGTTGCACCCCAACCAGAAACAGCATCCCTATCAAAAGCATTAATCAAAGCTTGCGAAATAGTCTCGAATAAATCCTCAGGCCCTAGATTGGGTTCCCACAAAGCCTCGCACATACCGTACAATTGTGCAGAAGCGGTACCTCCTACAACAAAATCTTTAGGCTGATTGATGCAACCAATAAGATCCATATTGCAAATAAATGGCTCGTAGGTTTTCGGGTCTAAACCAGCTACTACAGGTTCTACAAAGAACGGCCCAAAGCGTTTTTCGTACAGCATATGAGACAGCATAGCGCTGAATACTTTGGGCGACATCAGCCTGTTTTCTTTGAGTTCGTACAAGTTTTTTCTGAACCGCAGTTTTTCTCTGACTGTTTGGGTATCGGTGGCTAAGCCGGGCAGACCGACGTAGAGATGGGGCCCCATTTCGAAGACTTTTTCGAAATTTGTTGCTAGGGTTTGAGCTTGGATACCGAATCTTCTATCGGCAGCTATAGCGACGCAATTTTCTCCTTTCATTGCTACCATAGCGCCTCCGTTATATGCTAGGATCGACTAGAATAATAATAGATTTTTGTTTAAAGTGTATTTGATGAATTTGAAAAGAATACATTGAAAATATAACCTAATATTGTCCAATGTTGAAAAAAATCTAATATTATATTGTTTATAGTAATTTTGATTTATTATTATTAATTTACTTACCATTTTTCTAGGATTTTAGCACTTTAAAGTAACAATCTATACGTTTTTTGAAAGATGATTTTCCAGAATTTAAAAGCAGAGGATGAGGTTGTTAAATTTGTTGATTTTCGAAATGTCTTACTTTTTGACAGTTAACATGGAATTGTCAGCATGACAGTAATTTATAGGCTATTTCTTTTATACGAACTCCATTTGTGCTCGTTCATCAATCGAAACGAACACGAATTATTGCACTGCACTTAATAGTGTCACAACTACCCGCTTTACGGAGGTGACATGCGGGGTTTGTAGCTTTGGGGGTTGATGGAGAGAAACTCGCTCAGGTTATATATAAATATAGATATATATTTTCCCAAATATAACCTTACATGACCCTTCGAACACTGGGGTCGTTATAGGGTCAAATAGGGAGCCACACGTCAATGCTGCTTGGGGGACTGTAGATTAAAGTTTATCGTCACCCTTATGCCTTGTCCAGAGGGGCGTTCCCAACGAGAGGTAATTGCACTGAACAACGATAAGGCTGAAGATACCCAGAGGGGCTTTCCCAACGAGAGTACTTGCACTGGGGAGACTAATTCCAGAGGGACTTTTCCAACGAGAGGTACTTGCACTGTTTTAAGTCTGCCTTTGCTGCGGCTTGCGACGCAATTTATATCAATTTATTGCTGAATTGCAATAAACATTCAATCGAATCGGCAATTAAATTAATAAGGTTAAATACCGGGTCCTCCTTTCCTAAGCAGCTAAATAGTTGACAATAGTTATTGTATTCCTTTCACACCTATGAGGAGCTCCGGAACACGCATCTCTTCCTTTCAAATCGGGGTCGACATACCGAAGCGAGTAGCTCGAGTGTTTCAAACTCTTGAAAGGAATACATTAACTAATGACTGCCCCCTAGAACACGCACTTGAAAACCTCTTTTGTCTAGAACTGAAATAACTATATATCAATAAAAAAAAATCCTGTGCAGCGCCGTACACGTGGTAAAAGTTAAACTTTTTAAAAACTCGGCAACGGAAACGAGCATCTGTAGTGACGTCACAAGGGTATCAGCGCTTGACAATATTAGGCAATCTTCGTTGCACTTCTAATCCTTCATTTGTGGCAATCAATGGCTGTTTTTCTTCGTTTCTAATATCATTTTTCATCATTTCATCAGGCCTTTTCGATTTTGGAAAAAGAACGGTTCTGGAACGGTTCAAAACAATCGGACAGTTCATCAATCAACAAAATGACAACAACTCGGCTATCACAAATTTGAACCGTTCTAGAACCGTCCTTTTTCCAAACCCGAATAGGCCCATCATTTGATGGTTTACGGATATAGTCAAAAAAAAATCGCAGCACACAAATGCATAAATAACGAAAATAATCACAAAACACAATAGTTGTAACGGCGCTTGTCAAGTAATAGACAATCCTCTTTCTAGTCTTTCTGCTTATAGTCCTTGGTTTGTGTCAATGAATAGCTGTTTTTAGCCGTTTTCCAGCTCTTTCCGTCTCTTTGGACTGGTTTCTCAATAGTTGTATTCCTTTCACACTTAGGAGGAGCTTGAACATCTCCGGAGCGTTACGCGCTTATTCCTTTCAAAAAGTGATTGTTGCACCTGAGTGATCAAGCCCGACTCAAAATAATGGCGTTTCCGATTGGTAGATCTAGTGCGGAACTAGTGCAATTTTTTCTATTTCTATCTTTTTCTTCTACAGGTCGATTAAAAGGATGCAAATATACTCAGTGCGCACTGAATATACCAATCGGAAACGCCATAAAATGCACGAAAGCCATCGCATCTGGTTCTTTCAAATCGTGATCGACTAACACCGGAGCGAGTAGCACTAGTGTTTCAAGCTCTTGAAAAGAATACAACTAATAGCGAGTCACCTCCGGGTTGTTTTAACTCCAGGGTAAGCGTGTCCAGTTACTAGTTTACCCTGAAGTTATCCTTAACCCGGGAATGACCTGCTATCAATAAAATATAGCGAGTTACCTCAGGGTTGGTATTAACACCAGGTGTGCGTTCGAAATCACCCTGGGCGTCACACCGAGTGCACACCAGCCATGAATATTTCATAACTGGTGTGCACTCGGTGTGACGCCCAGGGTGATTTCGAGCGCACCCCAGGGTTAACGTGTGAAATTATAATAGAGAGTTCTCGTGGTGACCAAATTTCAAATACCGTAACGTTATCTTACCGTAACGCTATGCTATGTCAAAACTAGTTTATGCTCCATTTATGTCTGCAAAACAGCAACTTCTAATAATTCCTCCATAAAAAACACCAAGGGAAAAATATAATCAAACTCAGGAATCTTCAGGATAAATAAAACTTAGAAAACAAGCAAAAAATGTTGGGTTAGATCACTCAAATCAGCTGTCAAAATGGAAACAGATTAGGGCGGGTAACTATTAGTTGTATTCCTTTCAAGAGTTTGAAACACTCGAGCTACTCGCTCCGGTGTTCAGTCGCCCCCGATTTGCAGGTGCGTGGTGCAACAAAAACTTTCCGAAAGGAATAAGCGCGTGAAGCCCCGGAGCTGTTCCGGAGCTCCTCCTAGGTGTGAAAGGAATACAACTATTATCAAACTGCTTTGACAGTTAACTTGAAGTTAACTTTTTGAATTACATGTAATTCCAGAAGTTAACTTTAAGTTAACTCTCAAAGTAGTTTTATAATACCCGCCCTAATAAAACTACTTTGAGAGTTAACTTAAAGTTAACTTCTGGAATTACATGTAATTCAAAAAGTTAACTTCAAGTTAACTGTCAAAGCAGTTTTATAATACCCGCCCTTAGAGGGTTTATGTGTCTTCGTGTCCGAGAACTCTAAAATACCGAACGCACGGTAAGGGTGGGTATTATAAAACTACTTTGAGAGTTAACTTAAAGTTAACTTCTGGAATTACATGTAATTCAAAAAGTTAACTTCAAGTTAACTGTCAAAGCAGTTTTATAATACCCGCCCTAAGTCGCTGTCGGAAGTCTCCCGTACAGCTCTATGACGTCACCGCCAAGACGGGAAGCAGTACCGAAAATGCTATTATTTATTGCGCTTATGAGGACAGGAAATATTTGGAAAATTATCAAACTCTGCTTTTTGACTATTCTAAAGATAAAGTTGAACATCGAGTTGAACTAGAGTGACTTAAGAAACTCATGTTTGACACTTACTTTTCCAGGATCCTTATTCTTGAAATAGGGGAGCAACGTTCCCAGGAGAACGGTGTTCCGTGTTTCTCAATGATATGCAAAATGATACTATAAGTAACAAAGATCCAACACTCGTTCTTCTGGAAAAGGTATGATTCCAACATTGAGGATTCCAATGAGATTCCAACCTAGGATCGTCGGAAAAAATCGTCTGGTTTTCGAGTCGTGTGTCGAATTGTGATTCTAGAATCTCCGCTCAGTAAATATTAATGACGTCACTGGCGCATTTAAAACGTCATTCAGTACTGAAAATAATATCGGAACGGCGTCCAGTAAAGTCAGTACTGACAGTAGATATCGGAACATAGCCTGAATCAGTTCGGTTCAGTATATATCCGGAAACGATTCCATTTACATGAGCCGCTTTCCAATGTACATTGGCGCGCTCTAGAGCGCCACGCATAGATTTGTACCGTTCCAGTATCATGACGTGTGACGTTTGTCCGTACGTATAGCTCAGAAACTTAACGCTCCGAGTAGCTCCGAGCGTCACTCTCCCATACTGGAAAGCGGCTGTGAACTACGAACAATGAATTTTAACTGGTGTGACCGCGTTTTTTTTAGGTTTCAAAAGTACGTGTCATTCGGAGTCGCACGAACTACAAAGTCACACCTAATGCCAGTTTTCCACCAAACGGACAAAACACAAACAAACCCCAAACTCAAACTTTTCCCAAACATTTTCAGGACTTGTTAGAAAGATTTTTACAGGTAATGACCAACGTGAATACAGGGACACTTTTGCTTGGACAGGGAGCTTCAGCCTATGTCCTTCTGATGAGTCCTAACAAGGACGAAACGCGTCAAGGATTGGCATGGGAAGCCTGAGTCCACTGCTCAGTGGGCCGATTCCCAAACAGGGATCGAAGTGTCCCTGTATTCTCGTTGGTCATTACCTGTAAAAATCTTTCTAACAATTTCTATTGCCAACGAAAGCTCAGACCAATCAGTGTAGTTCAACGCCGGTAGGGGTATTTGCCCTCGGAGTAGTTGTTTCTGACTGGTCAACGAAGTTCATTTTCAGGACTAACGTGTTTTGCGACAGTTGGAGTTTTGTTTTTCGAGTCCCGCTAGAGAAAATAAAACATCAAGATCGCTTGATGGAAACAAGAGTTTTGTGTTTGTTTTTGCTCTAAAACATAGAGACAAAACACAAACTCCCGTTTAGTGGAAAACCGACATAAAAGAACACGAACATTTTACCCGCTTTGTATATCAAACCGAACATGAATTCTTGCACTGCACTCTGAAAGTGTGCTAGTGCAGCTACTTGGTTACAACTCCCCATTCTGGAGCAATTAAAATTAAATTTCCAAATGATCTCATAAATACAAACTCGTTGAAATTCTGACGTAAATTTCACTGTCAAATTCAGTGCAGTGTTGCATAATCGCATTTTCCAGCCAGAAATCAAGAAATGGCATTTCAAATCCGTCAAACCCAGAAAAGTTTACGTTTTTTCCGATTGCCCATCACGTATCTGGGACGATTTCTCAATGGTAAGACGATGCCCATAACCGAGGAACATATCAGAAGCAAACTGGAGAAAGAACTCGAAGCTTCTCATGTGGTAAATTTTTCAAATTTTCTTGTCTGTCAAAAATACTAACCCCCAAACAAAATGATCGATCTGTTTCTGTTGTTGAGTGTTATAAAACGTTGTGATTATTTTTTCCGTCCGCTGTGCCACATCAGTATTGATAAAAATCGTTAAATTAACAGTTAACACCATCATGTTGATGTATTGTAAAATAGGCAGTGAAAATTGGTTGGTTATCTTTGGTACTTTGATGGCTCTGGTACTAAGATGTTGTACGACTTTGCACCCTTACTCCGGCGAAAATAAACCCCCAATGTATGGAGATTACGAAGCTCAGAGACATTGGATGGAAGTCACCACAAATCTGCCCCTCAAAGACTGGTATAGGAACACTACAGATAATAATTTATTATATTGGGGCCTGGATTATCCTCCTCTAACAGCCTATCATATGTATTTATGTGGAATAGTCGGAAGTTTCATTAACGAAAATTTCACCAAGCTACATGAATCTAGAGGATACGAAAGCGAAGAACACAAGTTTTTTATGAGGACTTCAGTGCTCGTTGGAGATTTATTGATATACATTCCAGCTTTAATTTTTTATTATTACTCTTGTGTCAGGTTAGAGAGGAAACTTGAAGAAGCTAAACCAAAAATTAATCTTAAAATTCTTGATACATCTTTATCAGTTGTTCTAGGATTACTTTATCCTGGAATAATTTTAATTGATCACGGACATTTCCAATACAATTCAATATCTTTAGGCATATTTATATTTGCCGTAATTTCTATATTATGTAGACAAAATATTTTAGCTTCAATCCTATTTTGTGTTGCCTTAAATTACAAGCAAATGGAATTATACCATTCAATTCCGTTTTTCTTATATTTGTTAAGTACTTGTGTGCCAAAACCTGGCCAACCAGCAATATCTGGAATAATTTCTTTAGCTAAAATTGGTATAGCCGTTGTAGTAACTTTTATTTTAATTTGGCTACCATTTATTTTTAATATTGATGATACATTGCAAGTTTTACACAGATTATTTCCTTTAGCTAGAGGTGTATTTGAGGATAAAGTTGCTAATATTTGGTGTGCTCTAAATGTGATTTTTAAATTTAAAACTCGCTTTGATAATCAACAAATGATGCGAATTTGTTTATTTAGCACTTTATCAGCTATTTTGCCTTCAAGTGTTGATTTGTTTTTACGTCCTAGTTTGAAGAAATTTGTCTTATCTTTGATTAATTGTTCATTAGCATTTTTCTTGTTTAGCTTTCAAGTCCATGAAAAATCAATACTCCTAGTTGCTGTACCGGTTCTTTTATATTTCCCTTATGCTCCTTTTGTAAGTTTTTGGTTTTTGTTTATATCAATTTTTAGCATGACTCCGTTGCTTGTTAAAGATAACTTACAAATAGCCTTGATAGGTTTAACTGCGTTTTATGTTATATCTTTTCGTATATCCATGGAGCATGCCTTTAAAATTATGCTCAATAGCAGCGAAGGTTTAGTGGAATATTATCAAAGATTAGCTTCAATGGTTTTTGATATTGAAACTTCAAAGTCGATGAAACTAAAAACAAAGCTCATGTTAATTTATCACAAGATGCTACAAAATAAACAAGCCCTGTTTGCCATCATTCTTCACATCGCAATAGCTTTTTCAATATCTAGCTGTATCATTATTTTTGGTTTTAGTTTATTATGGGAACCGCCAAAGAGATATCCTGATTTATTTCCTTTAATAATATCAGCTTATTCCTGTATTCATTATGTTGGGTTTTTTATTTATTTCAATGTCAAGCAAATAAGTTTGCCTCAAGAGTTTGAAGATATTAAAAATTTTAAAATTAGAAGGTCATCTTCAAGTGAGAATTTTTTGAAGAAAGGGAACTAATAATGAGTACAAGCACTTTGTTATTTTATCCTCTTTTACTACCTAAAAAAAGATAAAGAGAAATATTTTCTGCTCGATATTCCTTTATTCAAAATATTTTCTGTAAAAAAAATGTGATATAGGAACTAAGTGTAGGTTGTTTGAAACAGAGCAGATTCTTTTTTGTATGAAATGTGTTTTGTAGAAGCTACCTAGGTATATGGAAAAAAATTACATATTTTACTTATGTATACTCACATATGTATTGTAAATTGTTACTAAAATATTGTAATACAAAGTTGTAAATATTGTTATTGTACTGGTAGTAAATTTTTCTTACAGTTTTATAAAAGTGTTTTACTTATTTCAAATTAAAATATGCTTTATTGGTAAATATGTAAAACGTTGAGTCACATCATTGAAGAACTCGTTCAAACTGTAATACGTCAGAAATTTCTCTACCTCTATATGTAGACTCCTTTCAGTGTTGAGTTTTCTCATCTTTAAAGGAAGTTTATTAAATTTTTGCTCCCATGTAAAATGAAGCCATAAATAAGTTCTTAGTGAGGAATAGACAACTTCAGCACGTATTGTATTGACCCCTTAGCTCCAATTTGCACTTATATTTTCTAAAGACGGTTTCCAGAATAAAAAAGTAACACATAGTAAGAATAACGTGACTGAAAAACAGAGGACGACACGAATCATAAGGCTTGGCTCCACACAATTATGTAATAGCCCTTTTCTGTAGTAGGAACACTGAATTGAACAGATAGTCAGAACAAGAAGCAAATTCCGTATCGAAGATGGGACTCAATAATCGTAAAGTACTCACATTTGGCAATGGAGAAATTCAGGTTATTACAAGGGGCAAACCACCTAGGAACTCTTTGCCAAAAATGTGGGGAATTTAGAGGACTTTGTGGGGAATTTGAAGAAACTCATCGGAATTTATGAGAATTTGGAGGAATTTATGGGGAATTTGGGAGAATTTGTAAGGAATTTATGATTTCCAAGATTCCTCATGTTGTAATTTTCTACTGGAAAAATTTGAAATTTTGAAAAAATGAGTTTCTCACCTTCCTCTTTACATGCAAAAAGTTTCAAAATTTTCCCTTCTCTAGTTTTCCAGAAAAATTTTGAAATATGTGAAACTGTATTTTCAACTTATTCAGTTTTTGTAGGTTGATTTCCAAGATTTTTCATGTTGCTGTTTGCCATTGGAAAAATTTGAAATTTTGGGAAAATGAGCTTCTCGCCTTCTTCTTTACATGCAAAAAGTTTCAAAATATTTCCTCCACTAGTTTTCTAGGAAAACTTTGAAATGTATGAGACTGTATTTTCAATTAATTCAGTTATTATAGGTTGATTTCCAAGATTCCTCATGTTGTAATTTTCTACTGGAAAAATTTGAAATTTTGAAGAAATGAGTTTCTCACCTTCCTCTTTACATGCAAAAAGTTTCAAAATTTTCCCTTCTCTAGTTTTCCAGAAAAATTTTGAAATATGTGAAACTGTATTTTCAACTTATTCAGTTTTTGTAGGTTGATTTCCAAGATTTTTCATGTTGCTGTTTGCCACTGGAAAAATTTGAAATTTTGGGAAAATGAGCTTTTCACCTTCCTCTTTACATGCAAAATGTTTTAAAATTTTCCCTTCACTAATTTTTCAGGAAAACTTTGAAATATGTGATACTGTATTTTTAATTAATTCAGTTATTGTAGGTTGATTTCCAATATTCCTCATGTTGTTATTTTCCACTGGCAAAATTTGAAATTTCGGGAAAATGAGCTTCTCAGGTTCCTCTTTACATGCAAAAAGTTTCAAAATTTTCCCTTCACTAGTTTTCCAGGAAAACTTTAAAATGTGTGAGACTGTATTTTCAACTAATTCAGTTTTTGTAGGTTGATTTCTAATATTCCTTATGTTGTTATTTTCTACTGGAAAAATTTGAAATTTTGAAAAAATGAGTTTCTCACCTTCCTCTTTACATGCAAAAAGTTTCAAAATTTTCCCTTCTCTAGTTTTCCAGAAAAATTTTGAAATATGTGAAACTGTATTTTCAACTTATTCAGTTTTTGTAGGTTGATTTTCAAGATTTTTCATGTTGCTGTTTGCCACTGGAAAAATTTGAAATTTTGGGAAAATGAGCTTTTCACCTTCCTCTTTACATGCAAAAAGTTTCAAAATTTTCCCTCCACTAGTTTTCCAGGAAAACTTTGAAATGTGTGAGACTGTATTTTCAACTAATTCAGTTTTTGTAGGTTGATTTCCAATATTCCTCATGTTGTTATTTTCCACCAGAAAAATTTGAAATTTTGGGAAAATGAGCTTCTCGCCTTCTTCTTTACATGCAAAAAGTTTCAAAGTATTTCCTTCACTAGTTTTTTAGGAAAACTTTGAAATATGTGAGACTGTATTTTCAATTAATTCAGTTATTGTAGGTTGTTTCCAAGATTCCTCATGTAATTTTTCACTCGAAAAATTTGAAATTTTAGGAGAATGAGCTTCTCACCTTCCTCTTTACATACAAAAAATTTCAAATTTCTCCCTTCACTAGTTTTCCAGGAAAACTTTGAAATGTGTGAGACTGTATTTTCAACTAATTCAGTTTTTGTAAGTTGATCTCCAAGATTTTTCATGTTGCTGTTTTCCACTGGAAAATTTTGGGAAAATGAGCGTTTCACCTTCCTCTTTACATGCAAAAAGTTTCAAAATTTTTCCTTCACTAGTTTTCTAGGAAAACTTTGAAATGTGTGAGACTGTATTTTCAACTTAATTCAGTTATTATAGGTTGATTTCCAAGATTCCTTATGTTGTAATTTTCTACTGGAAAAATTTGAAATTTTGAAAAAATGAGCTTCTCAGGTTCCTCTTTACATGCAAAAAGTTTCAAAATTTTCGCTTCACTAGTTTTCCAGGAAAACTTAAAAATGTGTGAGACTGTATTTTCAACTAATTCAGTTTTTGTAGGTTGATTTCTAATATTCCTTATGTTGTTATTTTCTACTGGAAAAATTTGAAATTTTGGGAAAATGAGCTTCTCACCTTCCTCTTTACATGCAAAAAGTTTCAAAATTTTTCCTTCACTAGTTTTCTAGGAAAACTTTGAAATGTGTGAGACTGTATTTTCAATTAATTCAGTTATTATAGGTTGATTTCCAAGATTCCTTATGTTGTAATTTTCTACTGGAAAAATTTGAAATTTTGAAAAAATGAGCTTCTCAGGTTCCTCTTTACATGCAAAAAGTTTCAAAATTTTCGCTTCACTAGTTTTCCAGGAAAACTTTAAAATGTGTGAGACTGTATTTTCAACTAATTCAGTTTTTGTAGGTTGATTTCTAATATTCCTTATGTTATTATTTTCTACTGGAAAAATTTGAAATTTTGGGAAAATGAGCTTCTCACCTTCCTCTTTACATGCAAAAAGTTTCAAAATTTTTCCTTCACTAGTTTTCTAGGAAAACTTTGAAATGTATGAGACTGTATTTTCAATTAATTCAGTTATTATAGGTTGATTTCCAAGATTCCTCATGTTGTAATTTTCTACTGGAAAAATTTGAAATTTTGAAAAAATGAGCTTCTCACCTTCCTCTTTACATGCAAAAAGTTTCAAAATTTTCCCTTCTCTAGTTTTCCAGAAAAATTTTGAAATATGTGAGACTGTATTTTCAACTAATTCAGTTTTTGTAGGTTGATATCCAAGATTTTTCATGTTGCTGTTTTCCACTGGAAAAATTTGAAATTTTGGGAAAATGAGCTTTTCACCTTCCTCTTTACATGCAAAAAGTTTCAAAATTTTCCCTTCACTAGTTTTCCAAGAAAACTTTAAAATATGTGATACTGTATTTTTAATTAGTTCAGTTATTGTAGGTTGATTTCCAATATTCCTCCTGTTGTTATTTTCCAATATTCCTCATATTGTTATTTTCCACTGGAAAAATTTGAAATTTTGGGAAAATGAGCTTCTCAGGTTCCTCTTTACATGCAAAAAGTTTCAAAATTTTCGCGTCACTAGTTTTCCAGGAAAACTTAAAAATGTGTGCGACTGTATTTTCAACTAATTCAGTTTTTGTAGGTTGATTTCTAATATTCCTTATGTTGTTATTTTCTACTGGAAAAATTTGAAATTTTGGGAAAATGAGCTTCTCACCTTCCTCTTTACATGCAAAAAGTTTCAAAATTTTTCCTTCACTAGTTTTCTAGGAAAACTTTGAAATGTATGAGACTGTATTTTCAATTAATTCAGTTATTATAGGTCGATTTCCAAGATTCCTCATGTAATTTTCTACTGGAAAAATTTGAAATTTTGAAAAAATGAGCTTCTCACCTTCCTCTTTAAATGCAAAAAGTTTCAAAATTTTCCCTTCTCTAGTTTTCCAGAAAAATTTTGAAATATGTGAGACTGTTTTTTCAACTAATTCAGTTTTTGTAGGTTGATATCCAAGATTTTTCATGTTGCTGTTTTCCACTGGAAAAATTTGAAATTTTGGGAAAATGAGCTTTTCACCTTCCTCTTTACATGCAAAAAGTTTCAAAATTTTCCCTTCACTAGTTTTCTAAGAAAACTTTAAAATATGTGATAATGTATTTTTAATTAGTTCAGTTATTGTAGGTTGATTTCCAATATTCCTCCTGTTGTTATTTTCCAATATTCCTCATATTGTTATTCTCCACTGGAAAAATTTGAAATTTTGGGAAAATGAGCTTCTCAGGTTCCTCTTTACATGCAAAAAGTTTCAAAATTTTCCCTTCACTCTTTAAAATGTGTGAGACTATATTTTCAACTAATTCAGTTTTTGTAGGTTGATTTCCAATATTCCTCATATTGTTATTCTCCACTGGAAAAATTTGAAATTTTGGGAAAATGAGCTTCTCGCCTTCTTCTTTACATGCAAGAAGTTTCAAAGTATTTCCTTCACTAGTTTTTTAAGAAAACTTTGAAATATGTGAGACTCTATTTTCAATTAATTCAGTTATTGTAGGTTGTTTCCAAGATTCCTCATGGAGTTTTTCACTCGAAAAATTTGAAATTTTAGGAGAATGAGCTTCTCACTTTCCTCTTTATATACAAAAAATTTCAAATTTCTCCCTTCACTAGTTTTCCAGGAAAACTTTGAAATGTGTGAGACTGTATTTTCAACTAATTCAGTTTTTGTAAGTTGATCTCCAAGATTTTTCATGTTGCTGTTTTCCATTGGAAAATTTTGGGAAAATGAGCTTTCACCTTCCTCTTTACATGCAAAAAGTTTCAAAATTTTTCCTTCACTAGTTTTCTAGGAAAACTTTGAAATCTGTGAGACTGTATTTTCAATTAATTCAGTTATTATAGGTTGATTTCCAAGATTCCGTATGTTGTAATTTTCTACTGGAAAAATTTGAAATTTTGAAAAAATGAGCTTTTCACCTTCTTCTTTACATGCAAAAAGTTTCAAAATTTTCCCTTCTCTAGTTTTCCAGAAAAATTTTGAAATATGTGAGACTGTATTTTCAACTAATTCAGTTTTTGTAAGTTGATCTCCAAGATTTTTCATGTTGCTGTTTTCCATTGGAAAATTTTGGGAAAATGAGCTTTTACCTTCCTCTTTACGTGCAAAAAGTTTCAAAATTTTCCCTTCACTAGATTTCTAGGAAAACTTTGAAATATGTGAGACTGTATTTTCAACTAATTTAGTTATTGTAGGTTGATTTCCAAGATTTTTCATGTTGCTGTTTTCCACTAAAAATATTTGAAATTTTGGGAAAATGATCTTCTCACCTTCCTCTTTACATGCAAAAAGTTTCAAAATTTTCCCTTTTTTTAGAGGAATTTGTGATGGGCTATTTGGAGAAATTTGCAGGAATTTTGAGGAATTATGCGTGAGAAATTCCCCTTTGAGGAATTGTTTGTATCAATTCTGGAATGGTGGTTTACCCCTTGGGTTATTAGCAATAACTCTCTGGGTATAGCAACCAGAAGAAATTTTGTCGCATACTCTCGCAGTATGGTCTTCAACCTTTAAAGACCTGCCTATTGACAGACCTGATAATTTATTAAAAATTGGCATAATGATGGGTTCATTTTCCATGAAGTAAAGTAGCACACTGACAACTTTAATTGCCTCAACAAGTACCTGCAACGCAACCATGGATAAAGCCAATACTACCCTCAATGAGAGCCCATCCCAACCTGCTGCACTCTTATCCCTTATATTTCCGACCATGCATTTTGCATTAGTAGGAGCAAAAAAGAAAGATTCAGCCACCACTACATGTTTCAGATAGCTCCTGGGATCACTCTGTTGAAATTTTGGTTGCGAGAATATTGCAATGGAATAAATTTAGGTCATTTTGTTGTCAATTCCACTTCACTTACCATAATTTTCACCAGTTAGCATATCATTACACTTACTTATTCTTTTGTGTTATTTTTAGGAGGTCATAGATCACTCAGATGGTTGCGGAGAGAAATTCTCTTGTTTAGTAGTATCTGAAAAATTCAAGGGAAAACAACTCTTACAAAGACATAGGTATGTAAACTTTTAATTCAATTTATAAAGTTTCAATATTATTTTTGCAGATTAGTGAATACCGTTTTAAAAGAAGAATTGCAAAATATTCACGCTTTTTCGCAGCAAACACTGACACCAGATCAGTGGGCTGAACAACAAAAATAAATTTTTAAGATGACAGGTTTATCTAGTAATGCACAACATCAATTTAAAAAGGATAAGAACGGTAAGTACCTATTGAGCAAATTAAACATAAATTAATAAATTTTTCTAGGTATTGAATTCAATGTATCAGCTCCAGGCAAAGTTATTTTACATGGAGAACACTCGGTAGTTTATGGAAAATTAGCAATTGCTGCCAGCTTAGGCTTAAGAACCAAGGTTCATTTAGTAGAAATAGACTGTCCTGTTTTTATTTTAAAAATTTTGCCTCTTGATTTTGAATATACTTTTAGTTTACTTGTAAGTAATTTTTTTGAATAAATCTCTGTGTTTTTATAAATAAAGGTTATTTTAAGGAAATTCAAGAATTGCTGCTAGATAAATCTCCAAATGTTATCACAAATGTGGCCGATTTCAATTGGGAATTGCCGCAATTAGTTAATCACCAAGCACACTATGAAATAGTTAAACAAACTGTTACTTCTTTTTTTACCTCGAAACGCAATTATCTCGATAATGTAATTATTAATTCTACATGTTGTCTGTTTTATTTGCTCTCTGGCATTTTGTCTTCAGTAGATGTCAAACTGAAGTCTTTGTGTATTACTGTTGACTCAGAATTGTCTATGGGGGCCGGTACAGGAAGCTCGGCTAGTGTTTCTGTTGCATGTAAGTTGTTGCTTACAAATTGTAATTTTCAATAACTTTTTTTTGTATTATTAGTTTCAGCCCTTTTTGTGCACTATATTAAACTCAAAACTTCAAATCTTGAAAACATTTCCAAAAAAGGTTTCAAACAATTTGTTTTTGATAAAGGAGACCTAGAAAATAATACACATTTTAGCCAACGGGAGTTAAAGGCAATTTCTGAATGGTCCTTTTGCTCGGAACAAATATTTCATGGAACACCATCAGGTCTGGACAATACAATTTGCACTTACGGCAACTTGGTAAAATTCCGGAAAAACCATTCGACATCAAATTTGACTATTGAAACGCCCATTGACTTGCTTTTGATTCATAGCACGGTACCTCGTGAAACTATTAAGATGGTTCAGCGTGTTGCCGATCTCAAAAAGACATTTCCTGATGTTTTTGAAAATATATTGGACGCTTTGGACCAATTGACAAGAAACGTATTGGAAATTATTAGGAAAATGGACGAGGCTTCAGCTGCTGGAGATAACGAGGAAGTAAATAAAAATTTTCAACTTTGGGAGATACTTATTCAGATGAATCATAGTCTGTTGTCTTCTTTGGGAGTTTCGCATCCAAAGCTTGAAGAAATTAATATAATTTTGAATAAGAATGGGTACGGATTTTTATATTGTATTTTATTGTTATAATATTGGATATTTTTTTAGTTTGAAAGGCAAACTTACTGGCGCAGGAGGCGGTGGGTATTCGATTTCAATTTTGCCGCCTTCATACGATCCTGAAGAGGTCATACGGATTTTGAAAGAACATGGCTTTTTAGTTATAGCTACCAAACTAGGTGGACCGGGAGTAAAAGTGGATTCTTTAAAATAATTTACATTTTTCATCTGAGATTTCTTGAGGGAAAGCTTGAAACAGACTGACCTAGTATTATGCAGATCTAGTTTTAAGAATTTTATGCTTAAAAGGTGACAGTTTATTTTATTATTCCTCAGTGTGTTTAGTTATTTTTGTATTTGGTTACTTAGTTAATATAGCTTTTTTAATCAAAAATATTTAATGTTTAATAAATTAATTTACTTTTTTTTACCTAATAGACTTAGAGTTTGTTTATATTTTGGCTTGTGCTGTACATACAAATCTTGGAAAATTCTATAATAATGTAAAATCTATTATCTAACGTGTCTCAAAAGCACCAAATATGTATGTTTAAAAATATTCACAGAAAGGAAACTAATAAGACAAATCCCACTGGACAATATAAATCCGGGGAAGTTTTATATTAATTTATTTAAGTCTACACAACTCCCATAAAAGTGAAATTAAAAAGAAGACTCAAAAATGTAATAAAGTAACTTCGCAATAAAAGAATTCATTAGAAACGCTACAATGCGTTAAAGTCAAATAGGCATTTTGCCGTGGTGTTTCATGGACTGGAAACAAGGGTGCGATTGTCTTTAATCGTCTTTCTGTATTCCTGTTACAGCTGGCTTGATATGGGATTTTTAAGTCCGGCTATAAGTTTCCATGGTGTGTTCCAGATTATATTGTGTTATATTCCCATTTGAGCCAAGAAAATTTATGAAAAATTAAATCTTTACATTGACATTACAAAACCTCTATGCCACTCTACCTTTTTTCGAGAATTCGAGAGTTGTTTTATATATATATTTATAAATTAAATTGGTTGTATAAGGTAAGGTTTAAATAATTCCACTCTGAACTGAAAAATAATACCTATTGGTTCAAGGGTAAGAAGGATCAGATAACAATAACCCAACTAACAATTTTAGTTTTATAACGGCTCAGAACGTTAACAATGAATATATTTTATAAAACGTTCTTACAGCTTTTATAAACAAGGAATTGGTGCAGATTTATAAAACAAATAGTTCTGTAAATGTTTTATAACTGTTTTATAAACTAATATAATAAAGCACTTTTATTACGTTAAATGACGTTATATGTATTTTAAATGACAATTACTGTGACTAATAAACAGTTTGATAGGATAAAATGACGTTAATAAAATAGAATTCTATTTATTTTTTAAACCCTCTGTATAAAACTGACAGCTCCGGCCTGCTAGGGATTTTACGTTCATCCCCTATCCGCCATCAGCCCTGCCAGTGGCGAACTTATTGATTTCAGACCACCCCTTGCTCTATAGTGGGTCGACTCCTGCTGAAACCGTGCTTTTCGGTGCCGAAAAAATGTCGGGAACAGTTTCATTTTATTTCCGTTTTTCCGTACAGTAAACCATGGGTTCGAAACGGTACAAGAAAAAGTGGTTCCCGGTGCGTTTTTAGGCCGCGTATACCCGGATTGTGCAGTGTGTGTTTGTGCGTCAAATATATTTGTACTTATTTTCAAAAAAATTAAATAACAATAAAATTGCATAAATTAGCTCTATATAATAATTGGGACAATCAAAAATATGATGAACAAAAAATTCGAAACGATTATGTCGGGGAAGTTTTCGGAAAACGATGTAAGAAAAGTCCGCAATATGGAAAGAGGTGGGAAAAGCGAAATGTGATATTTTAGCGAGTGGAAAATAAATTGCCGCGAAAATGCAGAAAGAAAACGCAAATTCTGGCGAGATTCAGCACCAATATGTTGGACCTTACCGATTGGAGAAAACCCTCGGGAAAGGACAAACAGGTAGGTACCTACTTAAGATGTAACAATAATTATTTGTTTATTAGAAATAAGTTTATTATTCAACTCGGGGTAAATTACGCTACTCGTGTCCCAAATACTATCCTTGTAAATAATAATTATTGCCAGTTATCACAAGTAAAATACTTACATAAAAAACTAGGTACATTTCTGAGATTTGTTTGGAAACGCAAAATTCACACAGAATATAAGTTTAGTCAAGTTGGTGAAGCTCAAACAAAGGGTAACGAGCTGTTTCAGTACGATATCTCCCTAAAACCGAGTGGATTAGGTACTAACTGCGGATTCCAGAATTTGCGAAAGATATTGGAAGTTTTTAAAATAATGAGTGGAATTCTGCGAGACGAGCGCAGCGAGTTCCGCAGCAATTCACTCGTTTAGTCGCTAATTCTTTATATATGTCGATAGAAGATTCAAGCTATTTAAGTACGATATCTCCCTAAAAACGAGTGGATTACTGCGGATCCATTCATTAGTTCCAGAACTTACGAGAGATATCGTCAGTTTTTGAAATAACGAGTGGAAGTGAAGCAGCAATTCATTCGTTCAGTCTTCTCTAGGGTTTCCAACCCATGATTAGTTTTGATAAACTCAAATTGTGATTTTCCATGTGTTCACAAAAGTATGATCTACCTAAAAATTAGTGGACTGCTGCTTGCTACTCGTTATTTCCTAAACTCGCTTGAGATTTGGCGAGTTTTAGAAGAACTCGTTATTAGGTAGATATCCTAGTTGAATAGCTTGTTATCCTTCTGTCGGCACATGATGAAGAATTGAAGTTTGATGTTTTCAAAGACCTTGATGACGACTAAATGAGTAAATTGCTGCGGTACCACTCATTAACTTTCAAGAGCCCTATTTTCCCATGCAAGTCTCGAAGATGGGGTGTATCGATTTTGAGTAGGATATGAAGGGAAATTTACGAGTGGCTCCTGAAAATAATATATTACAGATAATTCAATTTTACTCTTTGTTACCCTAAAATGTATTTTTCCATTCGCGCCACTCAAGTATGTTTATCTTGCTACTGACGTTATAAATTTTCATCCTTCCGATGGGCTTGTGTGGAGAAATCGCCCAAAATCTCGATTTTTCCTTACAAGATAACGTCCTTGTAGAGGGTTCTGCAGCACTCTAATAAGCAATATACAGGGTTATTCAAAAGTAAGCGGCATCCTTTTGGGGGCGTATTCCTTACATACAAATAAGACAAAAAGTTCCTATTAACATGGCTCCGGAAATGCTTCCTAAGGGAGCTACACCCCTTCGAATAGGACACCTGAAAGACGTGTTTTTCTGTAAAACTTTGAAATCCTTCACAAATGGATTTGGAAAATTGGTGTATTTTATAAACATTTGATGGCAATTAGGATACTAAATTGAAAATTCAAAAATCCTAATCAGTGTCACATACTGGGGAGGGTGAAAACATTTTTTTACTCGTCAGATTTTTGCGAAACATACGCAAATCACAAAATTTTCAAAGTCAATTTTCTCGTAAACGGTACGCTATATCGAATTGAACCAAGAGTAACTTTTCTGTGTAAAAAATTGTAAACTTTCTGAATTTTCAATCAGAATCGCAAAAACCTGACGAGTGAAAAAAATAGGGATGGTTTAACCCTCACCCTCCCCAGTATGTGACGCCACTGATTAAGATTTTTGAAATTTCAATTTAGTATCTTAATTGCCATCAAATGTTTATAAAATACACCAATTTTCAAAATCCATTTGTGAAGGGTTTCAAAGTTACAGAGAAAAATACGTCTTTCAGGTGTCCTATTCGAAGGGGCGTAGCTCCCTTAGGAAGCATTTCCGGACCCAAAAAGTTCCTATTAAACTTTTTGTCTTATTTTTATGCAAGGAATACGCCTCCGAAAGGATGCCGCTTACTTTTGAATCACCCGTATATAAGTTGGTTTTTGGGAACTGAAGATGTTGGAAAAGATTTTCTTTATAGTTAGTCCAATCAAATACCTAGTATTTTTGGTATAGGAAAGTTTTGAGTTAGTTTTGATTTTCTCCAATCTTGATATTTTTTGGGCTGCTGAATTCGAATCTAAGATTTGCTAACAAAATTTCGTGAGGCAACATTGAAAAAAATGCAAAAAAAGTAAAAAAAATGGTAGTTTTGGCAGTCTTTTGCGTATAACTCGAAAACTATTCAGTTTTTGGAGAAAACACCTCCATTCAAAATGAAAGCAAATGAAATTTTCTATAAGTTACATTTGTTAAATTTTTTTGCAGGACAAACCGTTTCGGTTCAAGCGCTAGTTGAAAATTGTCGTATTTTATCTATCTCCACAAAAACCCATATTTTATCTGCAAAACTCTTATTTATTACCAAAACATTATTTTCATCACCTTATCGTTATAGTATCATAGTCCTATATCTAGAGGATAGGGAACGACTAGGAAGAAGAAGAAGAAATTATATTATTTAAGTGAGAGATCTGTATGTTTCACGATGGTCATTCATTGGAAAAGTGTGATAGGATTGATGACTAAAACCCTATCTTCTATTTGGATCAAGCTGTTCATGATAGAGATGGGAAGCTGTTATTTAGAAATAACGGTTGCAACTATTGTTTCAGTTCAAAAATAACAGGTGAAAAATAACGCTCAAATAAAAAAAGATTTATCCACTCAGGTGTTAAAATAACACCTTTTAAACTTAACACTGGTTGTCGTTGTCGTTGTTACAGATGCTGAGCGTTATTTTTATAAACATTTGTTCATGGCACTTGGCAAACGCAACTCCGGCTCTGTTCTCTTCACTGGCGGCGGGTGCTGAGCAGCCGCTGGAACGCTGGAACAGTCTGTCTTCATCTATTATTAAGAGCGTTTAAGAGAGGTGGATAAAAATTTCTTTTTTCTCGTTAACGGCTGCGCTGCACTGCTCAATTCTCAATTATGGACAAAATACAGAATAATAATCACATTAATCACAATAATACACAGGCACGTGTGTTCTCTGACCACACTCCCCACTTCCTCACGCTTTAGCCGTTGCCGCCTACTTCTGGCACCGCTTGAATTAAGCTCCAAATACGTCATAGCCGATCGATAATCGTTTAACTGCAACCCTACCACGAGAAGTTGAAAATAACGACAACCTGTTATTTTAACCCAGCAAACATCGAATCATCTCATAGA